AGGCGATTTTACAGTTAGCTGAAAAACTTTGAATTCTTTGAAATCCAATTGGAACGGCACCATTCATTTTACATCAGCAATACAATTTTATTGATAAATATTTTAAAAAGTATTTGTACCACATCAGTATTTATTTCTTATTATCAAGGTAGGACAAATTAAAAAAAAAATCAGGAAATTTTGATTTCAGCCAATACAGTGGTTTTCGTCAATATTTTATCAAACACAAGAAAAAGATAAGACTTTATTGTTTTCTTATTTAGAAAAACTTCTTTTGATTGATCACTTTCCACTTATCCTTATTTTCCTTATTTTTATATTGATGCAGTGTTCACCTGACAATTCAGCCTTGCGTGTGTGCCAAATTGCTTTGGACAACAAAGTGATGCTGGGGTCGATTCGTAATCACATAATGTTTGATTGCGCAACATCTCGCGGGCGAAACAAAGAAATTCGCCTGTGACCCAATGTCGCCTTTGCACGCCCCAAACAGGTGGCTGCCAATCAATGGGTGCACAAAACTTTCTCAATATAGTTAGTTTACAAACGTCATTGTGAGCAGGGATGCAAAATCATCGCGGCTCACAATGGAGAACAGCATGACAATGATTCGATTTTTGGCCAGACCTGAAGCCCTAAACCGATCTTTGTTGAATTTCTCTATTGGAACACGCACGTGGAATTCAGACCTTGGCACGTTTCGCTTAAAGGTTATGCTCGAAAAATCTTTTCCTTGGATCGCAGTTTGACGAAATTTGATACCTTGTATGCACAAATGCACTGAATGACACGCAGATTCGAGGGCTCTTCATTTTTGGTCTTCAATGAGCACGGTCAAGTTTAAACTGTGCGTTTCTCAAGAACACGTTTTTGTATGCGTGAAAGTGTATAGTTATGTGATCGGTCGAGTGGAAATTAATTGCTCAATTTCTCGAATTTTAATTATATAGTTTTCCCCTCTGAACTAATAAATAACATATTTTTGTCCCTCTGTGGTTCATAATGAAGCAAAAACTTCGTTTATAGTAAAATAATACCATGAGAGTTAAAATGTTCTTTTTCTTGAGTGGAAGGAATTTTTAAATGATTGATTTATATACTTAAGTTAATTAATAGAATTGAAAATACCACAGAGCAATATTATTATGAATATTCTTCTATACTCGACATTCCATTACATTTTCAAGATCTTTATTTTTAAAGCATTAGAAAAGCTATTTACAAAATACGGTTTGCTTATCCCTATATTAATTTTATAATTTTGTAATTATGTTATATATAATGTAAAAATTTTAATATTTGTTAATAATTAATCAATTTATTTCAAATATTTTAAAACAAATACAACTTAAAAAATTTGTTAAGAAAATTCGCGATAAAATAAATTTAATGTGATAAATTTACAATTTAATGATTTGTTATTTATTTATATTTAAAAACTAATTTGTTGTTTACATCTGTTGAGGTGCGCAAAATATATCTATATAATTATACGTCAGTTGTTTATTTTTAAATGCCTTTTTTGGAGATTAATTATTTAATTTGTGAAATGATCGCAGCTATGAAATAATTTTTAGCAATTGAAACCCAAAGAAAACTATTTGAAAAAAAGCTTTATAAAACAAATTCCATTATTTTTGTTTTGACACAAAACGAATTTCACTTTCATGGAAGTCGGGGTCAAAATAAAGTCACAGGGGCCTGTGCTTAAACACCCCTATAATCACAATAAGCCGTTGTGGGCCGTGAAATTTTACAAAATTAAGAGAGCCACATCCTGCGCACAAGTTCAACCCAGTCAAAGCTCCCTGCCGTCCAAGGTCGCGACTCGACCAAAAAAATAATATACAAAAAAACCGCTGCAGAGGCAATATTTGACCAGCTATAGAGTCGAAGCGCTCTCGCAGCTATTTTATTCGCGGCGCTTTTTTGCCACCCGTCATTATTTATGCACATTTTGAAGGTGACTTTGAGGTGAGTGAGCCGCTCATAGTTTTTCTTTGTGAAAACCCACCGTTACCACAGCATTTTCGGGTGTTCATTTGCGTAATTAAAATAATGCATGAACGGTCACATGACGAATTCGATTTCGCGCCAAATCAAGGAGTAACTTGCAAAATTAAAACGGTGGCAAACGTTGCAGAACTGCCGCCAAGGCCCAGTCAGTGACACAATTCAAATAAATCTCATTGTCATCGGACAAAAAGCTATACAAAAATAATTTTTTTATTAACATATAAGTCTCAACTATTGCCTGCGGACATAAAAGAGAGTCAAGATCCAATAACTAGTAGACACCGTTTGCCTTTTTAAATCTGAAAGTGGTTTTTCTAGTTGACCGGTGGAAAGTATAAAAAATCAGCGCAAATTCTTGTAAACTTTAAATACGAGTGGTAACAGGAAGATCGTTAAATTTTTAACAAGTCTGATTAATATGCCCGGAGTCAAGAGTAGTGAAATTGAATCATTATATTTTTGCTTACCAACAATTGCTATTGGCTAATCTGGGTCATTTCTACTTGAGCTATAAACCAAAACAACCATCAAGTTGCAAAATCAATTCACGTTATTTTTCAGATGAGAAATATAAATTTATTATACCTTTCAGCCCGCACCTTAAAAAAGTAAAGAGGCAAGAGGCAACAACAAATCATGTTTTCTCTCGCTGGTATAAAAATTATATTCCAACCTTCCATTCGTTGTCTTGTTGCGTTTACATCAGATTATCAAGATTTATACTTTATTTCCATTTGTAAAATTTTAAAAAAACGATAATTTTGCTATATTTAAAAAAAATAAAAAAATAATAGAAAGGAATAATAATATTCCACTATTCCTTTAAATTGAATATAGCTAAAATTGAAAGTTGAAAGACAGAGGGTGACATTAGAAAAAAAGAGAAAAATATCAAACTGTTTTTAATTATAAAAAATGTTGCTGATTCAATTTTATATGATAATTGATGGCGTCCTACATAAAAGCTGGTCTTCGTAAAAATTCAAATAATGCAGCGCTTAACCTTATGAGCTTTTTTACGAAAAATGTGACATCCACGTGACTGCTGGCGCTGCAACCTGCAGAGATAAATTTTATATACAAACGGAGGCAGTAGTGTGTCTGTGCACAAAGCACCGTTACTGGCCAACAACTGTGTGCGGCTGCATTTATATGCCTTATTTTATGTTCTCTCTCTCTTTTCCACAATGTATGTGACACACATAAATCACATTGTTTATTCAAATCACAGCGAGGCAAAAGCGACTGGCAAAATCGTTAGTGGCGAAAGAGTTGCAGATGCTCGCCGAGTGCGCTCATTCAAGTCTCCGAGAATCGAAATTGGAGCGACACGTCTAATTAAATGCGGCGGCGAAACGTCGATCGCCAAACGCCGAGCTAGAGACGAAAGGAACCTTCGCATCAAATTAGTTACAGTTTCTTCCTTTACAAAATTCACGAGACCTTGGAATCAAAAGGAGCCTTTTTCGACTAAAAAATTCTTCCAAATTAAAACGAATCTTCTATGAAAACATAAATATTTTTTCAAAGGCCGGTGTAATATTTAATAGTCGGATTTATTTATAATTTCTATATTAGAATGAAATAAAATATTTTCCTGTTTGGTATTATTTTGCACTCAATTAACATTATGTGAAGTAACAAAAAAAGTTTAAAGGACAAAATTATATGTTTAGAGGTCGAATGCCTTGCGGTGTGAGAAAAACACCTAATTATAAATTATAATCCTTTAAATATAGATGTTAAATGAACGGAGTTAATGTTATCCAGAGCTGCTACAGCTGTTAATAGCAGGTTGAAAAGCAAGTTGTCTGTAGAACTGGATAATATCTCCTACGTGGACCTTTAGATAAATCCATTTAAAACTGTTTAAAACCAATTGAAATCACTACATAATCAATGTTTAATTAAATAAAAAAGACATTAATTTTTAATGTTTTAAATAAAAACAAAATTATAGAAACAGTATTATTTCATATTAATAATCACTGTTCAGAGTTAAATCAAGTTTTTTTTAATAATCAATTTTTTTTAAATTAACGTCGTTTATTACATTATCCGCTGTAGCATAAGAATATCTGTCAATATGATTTTTTCCCCTCACAAATTAAATTGATAGTAAACATGTTGGTTTTGCTTTTCAGAAGCTTTTTCTTATTAATTAAGTGTTTTTGTTTCGTTTTTATAAGAGCAAGGAGACTCTTGTGTGTTTCCATTCGTTTTCAAGCTCTTTTGCCGCACCTGAAGCAGAAAATGACATCTGCGCTGTCAACACATAGCGCAGCCGTGTCGTGCAGAATGCGAGATTTTGCAGACGGTCACGGTCTCTATCTAATTTCAGATAACGAAATTCAGGCCAAAGCAACTGCAGTCCTCAACTCTCTTAATAAAATGTAAACATTAAAATTAATTCAGAAAATAAATTAGAGATTAATGACGTTTCAAATATACAGATCTATCGATTTATTTTTAATTTTATAGGAATAACATCGAGGAGATATTAATTGAAGCAGAATGTATTGAAAAATTTTAAGAAATACAATTCCTCTTCCTATTAAACTGAAAAAAGCGCAATCAGCAAGGTCATATTGAAAAAAATAGCAATCGTGAGTATTCCGTGGAAGGCAAAAGCTATTTAAACGATGATGACAAAATATATAATTTGCAAACGCCAGCACCTCACGCACCGGCCCCAAGTTCAAATAAATAAAGTATCATGCGAAATAGCCGTTCCTTCTTTGCTGATAAAAATGATGATATGTCGAGGAGGATTATTATTGACAATTGATATTCCGGTTGCCGACGGTTGCGGCGATTCCAAACAAATACATAAAATGAGGAAACGGCCATCGGGCTGTTTTGCAAGCTAAGGTCACCGCGTTTCAAAGTGGACGAGGAGGCGCTGCCTTCGAAAGCAAACCATTGGTTCGCTCGCCTTAGCTGGAAGGTGAAATCTGCCATCATTGATTGCTCCTGCAGAGCGAGCGAGAGAGTGAGAAAGTTGAACGCTGAGTCTCTCAGGCAGTGTCTCAGTCAGTGTTGCCTGAGACGCGAAGGTACCAGGTTGTTGTTCGATCGTTGGTGCGCCGCCGCCACTCTGCTTTGGATATGCGCCGCTGAAAGTGAAATTATATTTATTTACACTCGACATACAGAAAGACTCTTTCCAATTTACTTGGATCATCTGAAACGCAAATCAACACACAAAAATTATAATGCAGCGCGCAAAGTTTTTGGACAAACTTAAGAGTGGATACCTGAGGAAGTGGTGTAAGTACAATTATTAATCGATTATTTAGTTGATTTTGTTTAATTCTAACAGACCGAGTAAATAATTAAAACAAAATTTGTATTTAAATTACATTAAATATTTTAGTAATAATATTTTATTGTTTACAAAATTTATATAAATTAATTCTTTAATTTATTAAATTTAATATGTATATAACGCCTTTTAATTTATTTAACTCGTCTCAGTTTTTATTCTAATCACATGCAATTAGACTGAATAGTTTTTCAATTATGTTTCAAATTCTATCTAAAGCTGGACAAATTTTTATTGTATATAACAAAGCTACTTATTCCACACCTTACTTTAAATCAAACGTTTTATCATACTTATGCACGGTTATTTTTTATTCTCGATCGTCCGAAAAGATGTTTATTCTCGTCCGAACAATAAATTATATGACCAGAAACTATTGTCACGTTAAGAGATTTAATTATTTTAGATACAAATATTCAATAAAATTTCATTCGAATTAAAATTACCAACTGATTATAAAACTATAAGTTTCAGTGTCAGAAAAGCAATCTTTAAGTATCTTTATATTGATATTCTATTAAATTTAAGGATATTGTGCACATATATATAGGATGAACAAATTTTTGTTGCATCGTCTGTGTGGCAATTAATTAATAGTCAGCTAGTGTTGACCGCAAACAAAATTTTGAAATCGAAACCGGCTCTGGGGCATGTTTAGTATTTATACGATTATTTTTAGCAATCGCCGGCGTTGCATAACAATGAGAAGAACCGAGAATCCGAAAGTGCGAAGGTTCGTCACTGACCAGCTGCTATATTTTTTGAACGTGCATCAACTTTTTTTACGTCACTCCTTTTTTTTCACCGCAAGATTTTTCTCAGCACCCGCGTGCAGATTATCGTGTTTCCCGCGAACATTAAGTAAGAATCGCTGGAGGCGTGTGCGGTCCAGAAAAACGAGTTGAAAAATGGCACCATAAAGGCAATCGGATCAAATATTACCACACGTCAGTTGTTGGAGATTTTTTTGCTTTAATATGTGTCACCTATATAATTTTAAGAGGCAGTCGAGTTGAGGAAAAAAATGTTGAGTTACGCCGCGCTTACGACAACTCTATATAGACTCTTAGCAAAATGTCACTGCTAAAGAGAAAGTCTCAAAGTCTGAGCTGCGAATTTGCTAATGCTGTAATATTTCAATGAAAAAAAGAAATGGCAATTAAAATTAAGAATATTTGAAAATTATTTCCAAACAGCAAAAATTTTGAAGTTTATATTTGAATAATAAATTATTATTTACAATGACGTAAAAAAAAAATCAGCGTATTTTATTTACATATTTTATATTTTCCTAATCTAACCGGAAATTCTTCATAGTTAAGAATCTGAAGATAGCAATTCACTTATGCCGAAGGTCAAATGCTCGATTGTTTACCAAAAACCGTCGATTGTGCTGAAATTCAATATTCATTTCAAACTGTTTACTTTTGTGCGACGCGCTTTTCGCACTTCCCAAAACAAACAGAAAAAGCTTTTTGTTTTATTTATAAACTCTTTCGGGAAAATTCTTCACCGGGGAGTGGAGCGCTTATGGACTTAAAGACGTCATCAACATATATTATAAGCAGAATGAAGAACTCATCTGCCTCTCCGACAATAAAACTTTTTGAGAGGATATAGCCTTGGAGTTCCGAATCGCGCTGATTCACTCGGTGGAAAAAATTCCACTCTTCGGCCAACCACTGATCTTCCTTGACTTTTTATCCGGCGTCATCGGAGAGACTGGTTTTCACTGCTGTTGCGCAATTCATCCTATTCGAATTCTGGTGTGGTGCTCGCGGCAGGTGCCCGCGCGCCGCCTCGAAGATATAATGAATTTCAAAAAGCTTGAATGACGCACACACGGCAGACGTAAACACGCCTCTGACTCAAACTTCAGACATACTCATACTACAATTGTGATTCAACTGTTGATGCATATTTAATTTAGTAGGGAAGTGGAATGAAAATAATTCACGGATACACTTTTATCTTCCGCGCGCAATGACGCACACATTTGCATTTTTCTCGCAATTTTTTCGCAATTTGTGAGATTTCATTTTGCAAATTTAGCAGATTTAAATTTCTGCTGCATACCTTAAATAATATGTAGAGTCTGACCGACATCTTTCATTTGCTTTAAAATTTGAGTAGATTGTGATTCGTTGAATTAATTAATATTACTGCTTGTACATTATAAAATTGATAAACAGAAATGTAGATTATGGCTCCACAATTTTCATTTATCTTAATGAATATGTGATGCACCTGAATTCTTATTTGTACAAATAATGCAAACTTTGGTAACCAAATTTTTTGTAAACCAAGATATATTTTAAAATTATATCGTCTGATTATGATTAAGAATTGAAAAAAAAAGAAAAAAATTTAAATTATAAAATAATATTCTTTTTAAAAAACGAAAATATTAAAAATAAATAGTACTAACCACATGAATATAGTAAGAAAAAAATTTAAAAAATTGTTTTGTTTTTTAATTTACTGTAGTTCTATTTACATAATATAAATTTATGCCACTCTTTCAACAGATTATGGCGATAATGATTCATAAGAATTACAATACTTTCTTCCTAAAATAACGCATTTTTTGTTAAAAATTTATTTCTTTTTTAAATTCATTGCGGTTTACTGAATTGAACGCGATGCAACTTAAATCTAACAATATGATTAAATTTAATGCAAATTAAAAAAAAACTCATTATTAATAGTTTTTTTTTACAATATCATCAATGTTGCAAGAGTCCGTGAAAATATAATAATATATTCAGAGAAATAAATGGGAGAACAGCTAAACTGGATCATCTATTATTAGTCAACCAGGAAAGGCCAGTTTGATTTCAAAGCATAATACTGTATGAATATGACAAAATCCTACAACCATTTACATGCACAAAAAAATTCATTCTGCCAAAAAATTAAATTAATTAAAAGTCAAGAAATATGAAAATAAAAAAACAATTGCGACTCACAGCCTGTTTGAAATTCAACCGATTCTCACTCTCGAGTGAATTTATTACGCAAAAGTGTTTGATGTGCGCGAGATTGAAAAAAAAATACCGGCTCTAATGCTCGCCAATGCATTAAATTGTGTTCATTTTCGTAGCGTGCCTTAGATTCGTATTATTTGTTGGTTTAGCTATAAATTGAAACGAACGGCTGCTTTCGAGCGGCGGCCGGCACTTAAGGCCCTTATTATTATTAAGCGCGCGCCGAAGAGATTTGAATTCCACGCCGCGGTGCACCGAGCGTTAGGTAACCTTTGAAGTGGTGCTGCTTGCAGAAAGTAGAAAGCTAATCACGCCGTCGTCGCGCCGGAATTATTTTCTCGCTTTATCTCACCGGAATGGAATCAAAGTGGCGCTATGCACTGCTCAATGATCGAAAATAACAATGAACAAAAAAATTCTCGCGCTTTTCAAAATCGCCTCGCGGGCCTTCATTAGCGCCGGCGTGCTCCGATTTCGAAGGAGATCGATGATGGGAAAATTTATTTGATGCTTTGTTTCAGAGGATTCTCATATGAACATTAATTTTTACATTTATACGAGACGGTTTAATTTCCATCCTTTCTCTCTTCTCTCACCTGTTGCTGGTGTTTTCTTTTTTGTGCACCAGCACGGCTGCAAAAGAAAACTTGTTTTGGCTAAAGAGTTGAAAAATTTTCCCACCGGAATGTGTAAATGTCAATGTTGACCGCATTTTTCCTTTATCTTTTTGCTAGACCAAGGGCATGTCGTATTGTTAAGCGGTGCTAAAATTTAGAGATTACGCAATGATAAAATGCTCAAGCCTCGCTTTGCACCGCAAAAGGTGAATGAAAAAGTTTAATGACAATGAAAAAAGCCAATCTGGTCTCATTTATTTAAAAAATTACGTGATCGTTTTAGTTCCGATCATCTTTTGGTATATAGTGCGCTGAATAAATTTAAACAAAATGTATGAAAATTAATTAAAATTAAAAATGAATTTCATAATATGAAGTTGACAACTGAGGGAAGATTCCTATTATTGTTGCATAATTAGCACTTTTAATTATTGAACGATTAGCAAAAGAAAAACATTATCATACCTTTTTCAATGTACACAGTGTACCTTTACTAAAATTTTTAACTCTTTTTAATACCATTGCGTTTACTTTGAACAGTAAATTTTACCTAATTAAACATGGAAATTGAAATTAAAAAGCTCACAATAATCCATAATGCATATTTGAATTGTTCTTACATTTATTATGTTGTGACAAATCAAATAATTTTTTAATGAAGTTTGAACTTTTAATCCTATTTGCAAAAATGGACTTTTGTTCTAGAAATAGTCAACTATAAATTTTTAACTGTACTTATTTTATATTTTTACCCTGTATCGCCCTGTATAATAAAAAGAAAGCATTTAAATATTTAAGTGATTTTGCAATATTATTAGATCTATAGTGAAATATAAACAGCAAATAAAATCTCTTGAGTGAACCTATGTCAATTATGATTATGATTCAGCAAATCTTCAAAGCTATAATATAAAAACACAAAATTTCGTTGCTCGTTAACACGTTGCAAATCGACAAAGAGGATTATATATTTTGTGTGTCAAGAGTCGTTACTCTCTCAAAACTTTTTATTTACCTTATGACAAGAGACGACCAAGTAACAAATATATAAATGAGAAAGTGCGCAAGTCTTTTTGTCAAAGAGATCGTGCTGAAAATTATTATTGCTATGAATGCTGCGAGGGTGACGCAAGCATAAGCCAAGCCGTGCCGCGGCGTGTTTTAATAAGATTTTCGCCTGCGGAGAGCCAAGCAAGGTGTTTCCGAGATGCATTATCTGCAAAGTTGTACTTGAGGCTGAACGCAAAGAGAATAACAACGAATCTCTTTCGAGAGGTTTCAAGCAGTTGTGTCAAGTGTGCGGTGATCTTGCAAACCGATTTGAATAATGCGCAGACTTTGTTTCCAAGAGATTGCCGGTAGATATTTTTGTAATGGTTCTCTTAGCTTTTTAGGTCAATTGATCACGGGGTTCATTTCTGTTAAAGTAGCTTTTGTTATAGCATAATCGTTTATATGTTGCACAATATAAATTTTCAAAAATACAAGAAAATCCACTCTTCTTTTTAAAATGGATAGTGCGTATTTGAATTGAAATTTTATAATGTTTAATCAGCAATTTAAACACCCATATTATAAAATTAATTTAATCATATACTGTAAGTATAATGTATGTTAGGCAAAATCTGTATAAGAGGAGGACACTTAAATTGCCTACTTTTTTTTATCACTTTTTAATTGGACTGAATTTTATAGGCAAAACAGTTTGTAAAACATTATTGTATTTGAATAATTTAATGAAAATTTACTGCCCTCTCTGCTAACCGAAAATTTTGCAAATACAATTGCTATGGTTTTCAATAAATTTTATTATTTTTAATCAGTTTAAACTGTCTCCTATATAATTATTTAATGTTTTGGCACTTTGAAATTGATACATTGAAATTTAATTCCCCCAAATATATCCCAAATCCCTAAAACAACAATATTCTTATTTAAAATACTATTGAAACCTTTACAACGATAAGCGTAGTCATCAGCCAGGAGCCAGGAGAATAAAAAGTATTAATATGTCATACGTTTCTCTTCCTCTCTCCGCCTTGTTCGTGTCGACATTACTCTGCGTACCGCAATAATTTATTTCCTGCCGCAATCGACTCCGCGAAACCAATGACAATAAATCTGCCTGCAGCGATTTTATCTTCTCATATAAATATGAGAAGATAAATTTATAATAAGAGATGATGACTTTGAAACTGCATCACTTGCTATTTCACTCGATCTGCGATAATAACATGTGCATACCTTTTCTCAGAATCACACGCACAATCTCGTAGCGATAAAAATTAACTATTTAATAATCTTGCATTTTTTTTTCTATCCCTTAATGACGTTTTAACTATGCAGGGTCGAGCTATTTTTTTTTCTTTCGCAGTCAGCAATAATTACGAGCAAAAGTTGTGAAATGTTTGCTACTCATCTGGTTTTTTCATTGTTTGTTTGTCGAGGTAAACAGTAAAAAAAATATGTGATGAGGAAAGTAAATGTTGAGGTCGAAAATCATTTGTTTGGATTTTGTCTTCCGCAAGAGACGTCGGATCCTTGCAAGCTTATAATGTTAGTTGCAGAGGCTCGTTAATCTTCTGGTGGAAGGAGCAAGTTTGTCGGAATTTCGTGTCTCTTTTGACCTTCATTTGCTCTCCTCACAAAGTTCCTGTGCGTGGCCACCACAATTATTTCAAATTATTTCGGGCCGTGTTTTGGTATGAGATGAATGAAATTGAATTTAAAAATTCAAGATTATATCTATAAATGCGTAAGATTATTGTAATAAAATTTTAAAATAATAAAAAACTATAAAATTTTTTATATAATAAAAAACTTCATCATAAAATATGTACATTTTGTTTTTATTTTTTGTAATATTTTTATGTAATTATTATTTTCCTATTTTAAAATTTACTTTAATTTGATAAATTAAGTAAATTAAAATTTAATATTATTTATTAAATTTTTTCATTTAAAAAATTTAAAATACGTTAAATAAATAATAAAAATTGAGTAAAGCCGTCGTTGAATTGAAGTTATGGCAAACAGCAAAGTTTTTAAAGATGGCTTTGGCTTGACCTAACCCTAAAGAAAATTGATTATGCGATACCATAATAATGAAGTAAAAAATTATCAAATTTAAAAATCCATGCATAAGAAATGTTAGATAAATATTAAAACCACTTCAAACAAATTAATAATTATATTATCTAGAGCAGCCCTGCCCTAGCCCAATAATGTAATTTAGTTTGTGGTCATGATCATGAATCTAACCATAAAATCATCATGATTATAATTAAACACTTGGAAGATACTATGTTACTTTTGTTGAAAATGTAAACGGCAGCTATCAGCAAACTCAATGCAAAATTTGCTTACTCACGATTCTTCTTTGACTCTGAAACTTTTACCTTGAACTCTCATTTTAAAGATAATTCGTGTCTGCTATTTACATTAATTTGAAATGCCGGAATTTCGCAATTGTCTGGTTAGAAGCTCATAATTTCCATAAGGTTCCCATTGCATAAAATATCAAATTAAGGAAATGAGAAAAATGAAAAAATCTTAAAACAAAATTAAAGTATCAAAGAAACTTTTATCTAATCTTTGCGAATTAATTTTGAACTTTTTGGTTAAAATAAGATTTTTAAGAAAGCTTTTGTTGCCTTTCAATAGTTTCAAATAGGACAACAATGTCCAAAATTAGATTCGACATAAAAGTTATGAAATTAAAGTTGTCAGCGATTTTATTAACATGTAAAATTCCTTAAGCCAACAAAGTGAAAGTAAAGCCCGTTATCATCGTGATAAGCAAAACAAGTGAATTTGTGAGAATGAGCGCGACGTGATTAGTTAAATAAAACAACTCTTCCTGTTCCTTGAGCGTCTGCTCACCCGTTCACCTTTGCAAGGCCGCGGCTTGTGTGACATAACCCGAGGCTGCATTGGGCGGCTCAGGTGCTAAAATCTCCACTTTTTTCGCGTTGCGGAACTCATTTTTCATAATGATAAAGAAAAATGTCTTCTCAGTACATTCATGTTATAGTTAATTAAAATATGAACTTGATCTTTGTTTCAGGGTTGGTGATTTTAGTATCGTTGGTGCTGCTGTCATTCGGTGCCTTGGTCGCCGTTTTCTTCTCCCAATGGGTGCAGTTTTTCATTGGACATGTAAGTATTTTTATCAATAATTGATAAAATTATTGTCATTTGTCATTTTTATTTAATCAAATACAAAAAAGGAATGAAGATTTTTTAAATACCAGCTAATAATTTAATACATAATAATAGAGCAGCGTTTAACACTTAAAAAATAATTTTGAAAGGAAAGGTTCAAATAAAATCCAAGCTTTTCTCTCCTTTAACTCTTTGAATTTGGTAAATTTAAGTAATCATTATCTGATTTGATTTAATGTTTAATTAATTTAAACCTGGTGTTAAAATAAATTATTTTTGATGTTAGAAAACGTCTCGCCTTGTATTTTATTAAATTAATTTTGAAAATATGTTTTTGATGACACCCATTGAAATTTTATTAAAAAAAACACATCAATGAATCATTCTGAGAAATTGCTGGTTATTTTTCTGATGACTTTTCGTCAGGGAAAAACAACACAGGCTTAATTTCTCCGTATTTCTTAGTTCGTCCATGACGCACTGAATTTCCTCATGGAACACCAGTAAAAAACTTAATGGACTCTCTCACAATTATTTTGTCGCGCGCTCTGCCATTAGCAATAATTACCCTTTGGTTGCATAACTCATTTGCGGAGCGATTTCCGTCTCCTATACATCTATTTCAGAGTTCATTGCGATTGAATGGAGAAAGTGCAACTGCCTTTTAGTTAAGGCGAGCGCATTTCTTTTTCCCTCGATTACAAACACATAATGTGTGCCTCCACGCATATTAATAACACACAACACATTGCAGCCTTTTCTTATTTCTCTATAATAAAAGCTGGCTTGGCCGTTAATGTTACACGCACACTTCTAATATAACATTAAAAGAATTTTTTATTTATTATACTGACCGGTGCGCGTTGTTTTGCTTCCAGGAAATCACGTTGCGTCAGGGCTCGCAAACATTCAAATGGTGGAGACAACCGCCCATCGAGCCACTCATGAAGATCTACATTTACAACGTGACTAATGCCGACGAGTTCCTCATTGACGGAGCAAAACCTATCGTCCAAGAACTTGGACCTTATGTTTACAGGTACAATTACAATACTTTTTTATTGTTGTAAGTTAAATTTAATGTAAATTATTTTAAACAATTTATTTAAAAAAATTTAATTTTTGATCAACAATTTATAGTAATTTATTATATTATAAAAATTTTTTATTTATAAACAGGAATCTATAAATTAAATAAAATTTTACATTACATAGTTTAGACTTTCTTTCAGCTTAATTAAAATAAAATTTTTTTTTCGTTATTATTATTATTATTATTATTATTATTATTAATAATTGTTGTCTGTCAAGTAGAAGGAGAAAATGGCTCTTAATTGTAAAAAACATAGCGTTGTAGAAACTTCTCATGTCATATATAATATTAATATAAAATTTATAAACGTTTCCTGTAATTGACTAAAATCTCAAATTAATTATTATTGATCAAAAAATTAATATCATCATTGGTGGTCTACTGCATAAGTTGAGATACCTCAGGAAAATAAAATGAAACGAAAACTTAACAAAAATTTAGTCAAGTCAAGTAACATGTTTGGTGAAAAAGCTTATTCAGAAGCATTCAGAAGTATCACGAAATTGAATTTAAAAATTGCTAATGTGAAAATCATCATTAAAATATACCCCGAAACAACCGATTGTTGAAAATTCAATTATAAATGTATCAAAGTTAATTAGTGAAAAAAATTATGGATTAAAAAATAAAAGCTGGTGAATGAGATTAATAAGCAGAATTTTTTTCATGAATTTCTATCACATAATGCAATCTGATTCAATCAAGAAATTTTTCTCCTTTTACGAAGCTTGTTGATTCAATCAGATCTTGACAGATAAAACCACCGTTTATTAACTTCTTTCTACAAACTCTCGAAGGCTCCCATTTCCAATCGGCCGTGCATGTCGATCAAAACACGAGTTGTCTCTCTGGCGTGCAAATCGATTGTGTCTACTCTCACTAGCCACTCGAAAATTCCCTCTCGATTCGCGACGATACAGGTACTTGAGTAGAATTTATTTTCGACTGTCCTCAACAAGGGCTTTCCCACTCGCAAATTCAAGGAGAACGACCTTCGTCAGTCGCTTCCCCAAATTTTTAATGCGCAAGTGAGACCTTTTTCAGGCAGTACCGCTTCAGGTCAGTTCCCACATTATTATTTACTCACTTACTCAGTTTCCCTCGGGCTTGATTTATTAAACAATCCAGCCGCGATTTCCTTATTTATGAAAGGGAAACGAGTTTTCCGACGGCAATTCAAAATGCATGCATCTCGCTGGGAGGTTTTAATTGTCGTGCAACGTGTTTCTATAATATTTACTGCAAGAATGATGAAAGTGCGTCCAGTGGCGCAATTTAATTATATAGTAAAATAGATAGAATAACCCGTTTCAGCTATTTACTATTTTACGATCTATTATTATTTATTATTGATGAAAAGTTAAATTTTATTTCAAATCACATAGATTTTTTTTTAAATTGGAGAGGAATTAAGAGAGACATTAAAAAGATTATTAATCCAGCTGTCTGAGTTAAAAATTTAAATTGCTTTTGGCACTTGCTCAGCGAGTATATTATTGAATTTGGAAACACTTTAGCTTTTTGGTCTAGTGTGTTTAAGTAAACTGTTGGCCCGATACCTCACATCTTTTTTACTCACAACATTATTTTGAATTATTAAATAACCCAAATTACCTTTGAAGTTTGGAATTCGCAAATTTTACAGCTCAAAAATGTTATTTAATTCAGTGAAAAATTTTCAATTCTTGACTCGTAATCACTCCCGATAAAATTAAATTTCTTTGCATACCTCCTTAATAAATGTGGATTGTGGAAAATTACTATAATGAGCCAATTAATTTTCAAACAATTAATGAACTAAAGATTCAATATTCCATTTTCATAAAAAAAATCTTAAATTTTGCCAATTCTTTTTAAATTTTGATAGGAATTTCATTTTTTAATGCAATAAATTATGAGATATTGAGCATTGCAGTGTACAAAAAATTTACTAAAAAGAAAGACGTACATTAACAATTAACAAGTGATTAACTTAATTATATATAGTATTTACTTAGAAAAAAAAATTGAAGAAAATTGCTTCCGACTTCCCAGAGTCGTTAGTTTTAATTTGTGAGATATGAATGTACGGACATTTCAAACATATATATCTAAAACTCTTAACCCAAGGGTCGGTTTTGCTGAAAAATATATATTTAGATAGAAAAAAATTGGATATTTTATAAATTTTGAAATAATTTTTAAAATTACTCTACAGTGATTGAGCTTTTCCTGTATGGATGATTTTCCAATTTTAAATTAATAATCATATTTGCTTTTAATTTTATACAAATAATATGGCGGCTTCAGGTAGACACCGCGAGTTGATGAAATCTGGGCCAGTGGCACACATCGTAGGCACCGGAGGCGCGGATTTGCGTAGACATAACGCCCGGCGAGAGCATTTCATAACGAAAGAGAGACGTAAATTTCTTTTCGCGTGCTTTTTTAGTCACTAGACCTTTTCGCGATCACCTAGAAAGTCGTTCTGCTAGCTGAAGTAATTGATTCGGCCTTGAAAACAGTTAGTCGGAATACTCGTTTTAATTATTTTTCGCACCGAAATGATTATTTTTGCATGCGTGCCTGGTCGTCCGCACGTGCTGATATCACCGAGAGAGGAATCTTTGCGCTTGCACCGTTTAGTTCCGCTAGAATTGCTCTCGTTAGTGAAAGTTGGGAAAGTCACACATGCACGTCGAAATGTGCTCTCCGTACTGTATGCACATTCACGTACGCTTAATTATTCAACAGTCTGTGTGTTATTACACAGTGCGAGAGAGTATTATGTTCCTATTCAGAATTATTTAGGTGTCACTTTGGTGTCACTGTTTGAAGAGAGATTTGACAAAATTAATTGCGCAATGTTTTAAATTAATAGCAAAGTTAATAATAAATTAAACTTTAATATATAAATTTTTAATTTCAATTTTTAATGTTTATTTGCAATATTTAATTAAATGATATTATTTTTTTATTTATTATTATAAAACTGGCCTTTATAGATTTAAATTTTTTAATACTTGAACGATGGATGAGAGTGATAATTAGTAAATTCAATATTTGCCAAAATATGAATATGAATGAAACAATTTCAGTATTATTAATTTGAAATGATAAATTAAATCTTTTTAAAGAGAGTGCTTTTCAGTGTCCAATTTAATCTACAAATATTAATAGGATCATAGGATGTCAGTAATAAATAAGTAGTGTAAACATAACAAACTGATGAGATTTTTTCTTTTTCAAAATATTCTAGGGGTGTTTTATTTTAGAATTGAATTTGTGCTTATTGCAAACCTGAAAACCAGTTTTTTTCTTCTAATTCTAACGAGCCTTGCGTGTTTGTTTCAGACAAGAATGGGAAAGGGTGAACGTCGAGTTCCACGACAACGCCACCGTAACCTTCCAGCAGCGCAAGGTGTTCTACTTTGACGCCGAAGCATCCGCTGGAGATGAGGAGGACATGGTCGTTGTCCCCAACATTCCCATGCTGGTAAGACGCTCGCCTCCAACTCCTTTACTAGAAATAATGTCGCACAAACTCATTAGTGTGTGCAACAACTGCAATCTCAGACGCAACACACGTGTCCCTTAACCCTTTTAAACCGATCCATAATATGTAATTTGAGTGAAAAACAACAACTCAGAAGATGATGTAATTGTTTCTTTGTAGAGCGCCACCTCGCAAAGCAAGCACGCAGCTCGCTTCCTGCGACTCGCGATGGCCTCAATCATGGACATCCTCAAAATCAAACCCTTCGTCGAAGTCAGCGTGTCTCAATTGCTGTGGGGCTACGAAGACCCTCTTCTGAAACTGGCCAAGGACGTCGTCTCCAAGGACCAGAAACTGCCTTACGAGGAGTTTGGTCTATTCTATGGCGTAAGTTTTACCTTTAATTAATTCCATAAAATTCAGGGTCAAATGAATTTCAAACTTAGTTGGTTTTGCCAGGTTAATTTTAATTTTTCTACGAGATTTGTTTTTTAAATGGAAAAATATTTTGAATATTTTGTCAATGTTGTTGTTTTTGGTTAAAAAACAACAGCGTTTTTGCTGATTAGCCGGAATCAAATTGAAATATTAAATACTTTGCTGCCAAAAATTTGCAAATTTCTTCTGAAATAAAAAAAGTTAATTTGATTAATTTAGCCATCTTTCTGTGCATATGATCGGCAAAAATTTGAAAAAAAAAATCCAGATCTCATTTTAAAGATTTTTAAAAATAAAAATTAATCTAAGTTGCACTCTTTAATGTTATTCAAGATTAATTAAATTTTTAAATACAAAATTTAACATTGCAAGCATATGTTAGCTAAATTGTGTACCTGTTAAAATTATGTTTATATATTGAAAATTATCATTAAGATTTTGCTGCATTTTAATTAAAAAAATTTGTTGATTATTTTAATCTATTAAATTTTAATAATAGACAAGAAAGTCAAATACATTTAATTAACTCTTTCCTTTTTCTACAGAAAAACGGCACCTCAAATGACATCTTGACCGTCTTCACTGGCAAGGGCGACATCACCAGGTACGGTCTGATTGACCGCTTCAACGGCAAGACCCACCTTCCCCACTACAAGACGGAGAGCTGCAACCGGCTGAACGGCAGCGACGGCTCCCTCTTCCCGCCCAACATCACCCCGAACACGACCCTGTACGTCTGGGACAAGGACATGTGCCGTCTGCTGCCCCTGCACTTCCAAAAGGAGGTGGTCACCAACGGCGACGTCCTCGGCTACAGATTCTCCCCGCCCGAAAACGTTTTCTACGACCCTGAACACAACCCCGAAAATGATTGCTTCTGCCCTCAGGGACCACCCTGCGCACCCAACGGCCTCTTCAACGTCAGCGCCTGCCAATACGGTTTGTTCAGCTTATCAAATTTCTCCCTAAATTCTCAACTATAAATATTTGTTTTTCAATTAAAATTCTCTGAAATTTACGTAACTTTTTTCAACAAGTTAGAAAAAGTCGATTCTAGATTTTCAAAAATAATTTTTTTTTTAATTAAATTAAATTAAAACGATTTGATAAATTTTGCCTGAGTGATTTTAATTCAGTTTCAAATTTATTTTAAAATTTTGTAGCTAACAATTTTCTTTCAATTTTTTCCTTCCAGATTCTCCCATCATGCTGTCCTTCCCTCACTTCTACCAAGCCGACCCTGAGCTGCTCAAGATGGTCGATGGTATCAGCCCCCCTGAAAAGGAAAAGCATCAACTTTTCATCGACGTTCAACCTGTAAGTTCCCACGATAATTACTTGCTAAAGCCTTGAAATCCAAGTGAACTGCAACCGGCTTGACTCCACAGATGAGCCGGTTGCCTACCTTCAACTAGAGTGTTTTGTATTTAATTTTCATTCGCGTTCACAACTTCTGACTTAATTCCATCCAAATGTTCTTGATTAAACTGATTTTTAAAAAATTGCACTGTCTTTGGGATGCCTTCAGGACAAGGTGTCTAGCAATTAATGGTTCATACACACTTTTAAATAAAAATTTCAGGGGTTAAAAAAAAATCATTTTTGGTTCTCTCGGGAAATTTTGTAGTACTGTGGAGCATTCTTTTAACTATAATGTTTAAATTTGCTATTTTTATAAACAATGAAAATAATATTAAATTTATATTTTCTAGCAAATGGGCACTACCCTGAGAGCAACCGCCCGTGTCCAGATCAACCTTGCCGTGAGCCAGGTTGTGGACATCAAGCAAGTTGCCACTTTCCCTGACATCATCTTCCCTATCTTGTGGTTTGAAGATGTAAGTATAAACTTGTAAAAAATATTAATAAATATTAAAAAGATATAGAAAATTATTTAATTTTTTGTATTTTTTGTAAATTTTAAAGATATTTTAATTTTATCTATTTAGTAAAATATTTATATTTATTAAAAAAAATTAGTTTAAAATCTTTCTTATTAATAAATGAAAATATTCATTACTTTCTATTAAAATCAGTTACTTAAAAAATATTATAAAAGCACTGGAGGCTTAAAAGAAAGTTAGGGTAATATATAAAATAAAATCTAAGTTGACAGATAATCTGTCACAGATTTCTTCGTACAATTAATGATTATCCACTACAATTATCATGAATGTGATTAATATTTCTTTGTATATTAAAAATTAATTATTACATTCTTTATAACTTCAGGTGATCTCTGGTCTGCCTGGCGAGGTGACGGACCTTCTGCACCTGGCGACAAACGCGCCGGCCGTGGCCAAGTCAGCGTTGTCGTTTGGTCTGTTCGTGATCGGCGGCGTCCTTCTGGTGATCTCTGTGTTCTGCCTCATCCGCAACAGCAACCGGCAGGAGACGCTGACCCTCGAGTCGAGCACCCACTACGTCAACAAGCCGCCCAACCCCCGACCACCCCGCAACCTGATCCCGCCCTTCCCCAACGGCACCCCCAAGAAGGAGCCCGTCGACGTCCTTAACCCCGGTTTTGTCGCCGACAGCAACGAAATGTCGTAAAAAGACTTTGAAAAAGATATTGGATCATATTGGACCATTTTCCGCAAGAGTGTTGTGTAATTTTTTTTTATTGAATACCAAGAAGTGCCACGAAAGAAGTTAAGGACCTTAATATTTTATTTTTCGTCTCCGCTGTACCCCCGTTTAACCCTCCGTAATTAAAGGGTTTGGAAACTTTCAATAATTTTATTTATAATAAAGATTCTGAAAGAACTTTGCAAAGTGATCTGAATTTTTTTATAAAATATTTTTGAAGAAAAATTGAAAAAGTTAAAAGTTCATTGTTTGGACACCATTTTGCATTAATTTTGGGATTTTTTAATTTAACAAATAGGCAATTTTGTGCGAAACTTTTGAATATTTGCGGAAATAATGATCTAAGAGTATTTTAAAAAAAAATTTAACTTGCTCTGAAAGTTTCCATAACCTTTAAGATCAATGAAAATTGTTGAGTGACAAGACGGGCCATTTCTCTCAGCTTGTTCTAGCTGGTGATATTATATTTGACAGGGAGCACAAGTGCTGATTGGGAAACGAGTGCTTTTGCAATTTTATGAAATTTATTTTTGACATTAAATTTTATATTTGAAAATTTTGACAAAATTGTGATATAAATCTATTCCACTTTTAGGCGCGGAGTGCAATTGTTGCAAAAAATTCATACAAAATGTAAATTGAACCAACTGGAATTGGTAAAAAAAAATGTGTGACACTAAATTGCTTGGAATAATTTTGTATAACTTGCAGTTAACGTGTATTTAATTAGGGACAGGAAGGACTAACTTTATAAACAAAGTTTTATATAAATATTTATAATGCAAAAAACTTATATCTCTACGACCACCTGAAAAAGATTTGACTCCTTTTAGTTAAGATAATTAATACGTCGTGAAAGTGCCTTATTATTTAAATAATGATTTTTTTTCCTTTTTAAATAATAGTTTTTAGAATTTTCTATGCTGCTACGAAAAGCTCAAATAAATGTTAAGAGTGCACGACCTATTGTAAAATTCCGTCAATACGCACTTAAAACAAGAACAGGCCTATAATTATTTTGTAAAATATTTTAGTTTGACGAAAATTAAAAAAGAAAGTTGCAGAAACGTTCAAAAATGTATCATACAAAATATATGAAAAAAGTTATATTTTTAAACTACAGAGTGGAAGTGAAAGACAAAATAAGTGAACTGTGCTGATTTTTTTCCCAATAAACTTAAAAAACTGTACAGAATTTGCCAATAAAAACCTCTTTCATTAAAACTTTTTCTTGATTTAAATTAGTTTTTAAAAGACGTGCTTCGAGTAGGAAAAAAACGGCACGCGCGGATTTCATTGATTCGAATGCACAAGCAGTGTAAGCTGGGTTTGCGGATCTCTCTCTGCTCTAGTGACGTCACAATACATATCGTCCTAGTGCGCAAGTGACGCTTCTATAGAACGGTTAAAAAATTAACCGGTTAAAAAATTTACCGGTATTGTTTAAATAACCTATTAATCGTTCCATTTTTCAAAAAAACCTGATAAAATCCGGTATTCACTGGCGATTATTGCTGAAAAACCGGTTACCGGTTTTTTATTTTTCCGGTTTTTCCAAAAACCGTTTCGAGAGCTGGCCGAAGCAGCAGCAGCAGCGACGGCGCCTTTGAGTTGAGTAGTGAGCAAGTTAAGGAGGAGTGGACTGTTTTGGGGAGTCTGTGCTCTCTCGTCCGAGTGCAGAAGAAAGATGAGGGAAATGAGCAAGATGGCAGAGCTCAAGTTTGAAGCTCCCCTTGCCCAGTTCGAGAGCGAAGACCTGGAGGCCGACTTCGGCGAGTTCTCGTCCAACACGGCCATGAGCATCTCGGACATTTCGTGCAAGGACATGACCAGCTCGGTGTCCAGCGAGGACTCGCGCAACTCGAACCACCAGGTGAGCGGCCACTCGTTCTGCAGCTCGGCCAGCAACTCGCCCGTCCACCAGCTGTCCGAGCTGGACAACACGGACGCCATTCGCCAGCAGCAGCAGCAGCAGTTGTTGTCCGACGACGACCTGGGCGCCGACGCCACCAACTCGAACACCGCGGGCGCCGCCGTCGCCGCCTCCACGTCCGACGACCTGCTCAACGAGACCTTCTCAGGGTCGCTCGAGGACTTGGTCAACACCTTCGACGACAAGATCACCAAATGCTTCGGCAACTTCGACGAGAGCGTCGAGAAACTGGCCCCTGTGCAGGTCAGGTCGCAGGAGGAGATCATGAACGAGTGCCAGTGAGTCCCATTCATTTATTCCTCTTTTTGTATTTTTGCGGGCGTTTTTTGTTTTTAATTAGGAATTGGAGTAATTATTAATATTTCAATCAGTCTTAAGAAATGGAATGATTTGAGGTGCGCAATTATACTTTGTACAAAATATCATAAATTTAGTAAAAGGGTAAACATATATATTTCTAAATATATAGAAATTTTTTATTATTATTTAATTATGACAACAAATTTTAATTCATTCAAAAGATTTAAATGTAAATAAGTAATTAGGAAAAATATTTATTGAAAGTAAAAAATGTATAAATATAAAAAAAAAATTGAGAAATAAAAGGAATAAAAAAACAAAAAATTTATTTCTAATAAATAGGTTTTTAATGTATTTTACTGTGCTGATCATTTAAATCTAATTGTTACATAGTTTGCATTATTTTCTAATCACCATAATATAATATTTCTTAAATTTCTTTGGTTTTTATGTTGGGTTTTTTACATTTTGAAAAATTTCAGAGTGCTCAAAATTTCCTTTTTTTCTCGTATTTTATAACAATTAACAACCAAACTTATTTCCTCAAAGCGTTAAACTTCTTGCTGAAAAGAGCTCTTACTCTGGTCAATATTTAAGCAAATTTACGATAAAAAAAAAACGTAATTGGAAGATTTTTTTACATTTGAATTACAATTGAAACACAAAACAATTAAATTGATTTATTTATATCATTTTTTATGAATATTAAATTTGACGTTACGTCAAAATAGTTATTATATTTTTTTTCTCAGTTTCTGGATGAAATTTTACTTTCAGTTTGTCTCGTTAATTCTGATCAGTTCTGGCTGCGAATTTATCATTATAGAATTAGAGATGAACTGGTTTTCTGAGAACGTTTTGATTTGATGATGTGAATCTACAAGCAGCTGGGAAAAGTCAATGGCCGCCCTCGACTGCACTGTTTCTCTTCTCTAGAGATTATATTAATCGGAGACGCAAATTGGCCACATCCTCATTAAAAACCGTGACTATGGGAGCTCCTTTAATTTCTCTTCAGAGATTCCACGGGCGCATTGTTTGAGAATTTCCACATTATTGTTTTTTAATGATTTGGTTATTTAACTGCACGCGATATGATTTGATCGGAGGCGGCAAATAGTCGCTTCCGGTTTCGCACTTCCTTTGATTTTTCCATGTCAAATTTGTCCAAGCGAGCAATAAAAGGCGGCGATTTTCGCGTTCGGTGGGCGTTTAACTAATTTAAAATTCCGCAGACACGCTCCTCTCCATGCATTATTCGCGTCACACTCAATTAATTTGCAATAAATTTAGGCTCGTTGCGCAGCTCGGAACAAAACAAAACAACGCCGCCGTGTTTGGTGCGGATCGATTTTCGAGCCGCCGCACGAAAAGTGAAACATGACTTCGGACGGCTGGGAAAACCATTAAGCTCCCGCCTCGTTAAAATAGTGGATAATTTCACGTGGCCTCACCTACCTTTTCCAAGGCAGTTCGTCGAACCTAAAACCGCCCTCGGCATCTGGCAGAATCGATCCGCGAGATGCTGCTGCTCGCGGGAGTAGCGAGAGCCGGTCGGGAAATTTTATGAACCCTGTTTTGATTATTTATTTAGTGCGCCGTGTCTGCAGAAACTGGAAAAAACGTGCTCTAGTCTGATTCAAGAGTGGAATCGTTGAAAGAGTGAAGGATTAATGCCAGATTCACTAAATGCAAAAAGTTTTTCCTTTTTTTTAAAATTATATAACAGTTCAATTTTTAATTCTTTTTTCCCATTCATTGATTAATGGATTTCTAGATGAATAAAGTGGAATCGTGTGTTTATTACTTCGTCATGGCTAAACAAAATTTATTTTGCTCTAAATTCATTTTTTTATATCAAATTAGATTGATTCTATCCTTTCATATCATTAACTGCACCTCTGTTTGAACCTGATTTTTCCTTCCAAAGTTGGATTATTGCAGACATGCAGAATACAAATTTAATATAGCTTTTAATTTAAAATGTAACAATGAGAGATATATTTTTATTTTCTTTTTAATTAAATGAATTCTTTTTAACTATATATATATAAATTTTTTATTTTTATTATTAATTTCCTTTGATTAAAAATATAATAATATTCTTAAAATTGCTACAAAACTTTATATTACCAAATAATTTTAATTGTTTTTATGAATAGCTAAATTTTATTTTAAATATAATATATCCATGGTTTCAATAAACTTTATGATCAGCTGAGCAAGGTTAATGTGAACTTCTTTAATGCCATTTATGTGTTCTAAATAATAATTCATAATTTGAAAATATATTGAAAATAATAATTGCAGTTCTGGAAAAAAAATACTATTTCTACAATGAAACTTATCTCAATCAAATTTCTTCGTTTCTTTTGTGCGTGTCATGTGAAGATTATTGAAAAGGGAAACCGTGCAAGTAAAAAACTTGCACAATTTCATTTGGCCAAGATGTTTTATTTTGATCCTTCTTCTCCTAACTCACTTGAGTGACTCTCTAGGGGTGGTCGTTTTGCAAAATAAAAAATAACGCACGCGTATATTACTGAGTCGTGGCCTTCTGCCCACCGGCCACATAATTGCACGTCCATATAGATACAGAGCGGCTTTTCATCCTCCGAGAGCGCAGACAGCCTCCTCAAGGACAAATTTTGCAGCCGCTGAGCAGAGCAAAAAAAAAGCACTGGCCGCAGTCGCTGATGGCCATAACAAGTTTCGCTGCTCGCCCTTTTTTCTCCATCACATTACGCTCAAATGCTCTTTTATCCGCGCGATGCGAATTCCATGTATTGTGTCATCGCAAAGTGCTTAATGCTGTCTTTTGAGCAAGCTTGTCAAAATGAGACATACTAAAAAATCACAATAATGAGTTTACCGCAGTCCATGGTTGAAGCGATGAAAATAAGGAAAATACGGTTTAAAATTTAAAATTGTTCATGAAATTTTTTATATTTTCCTGAGATTTAAGTTTTTTTTTAACCATCAATAGTAGCAATAAATAAATATTTTAAAATAATTATTATTTTTCTAACATTTTATTTATATTGTTATTTCAAATATTTTACCTTTATTTTAAACTGCTTGAAATAATGAAAGATGAATTTATGTCGCAAAATAATGGTGTTTGAATGTGTCTATAGAACCAAAGACTGCCAAATCTAGCTTTTATAATTTCTTTTTCTTTCTAGAAAATTAAATTTTAATTTTTCTAACATTTTTGAAGCAAAAAAACTTATATTTCAACGCATTTTATCACTCTGCAAAAGCTTATTTTGATCCTGTATTAAAGCGTTACGGTCAGTTTTTTAAACAAAATATAAAAAGATTTCATTTACGCAGATCTGAATAGCATTCCGAACGCTTCCATTTTTATAAACAGAATCCAAACTCGGTGATTCCAGAGGCGTTGATCCCTGTTACGTGTCGACCACGTATTATCGATTTGCAATAGCGTTGCATAAAATGCACGCGAGTCGTTTTTGGCACCGACTTTGTGAGAAGGACGATCTCGGTTTTGCATTCGGCGGTGCGACGGCGGCGCGTGCCCCTTTTATTGATTCGCTCCAGCGGCCTTTTGCGTCTTAACTCGACGACCTTTCGGAACAAATTCGGACGGAAAAAAATCCACATATAAATCACGAGCGGACGAAAGGTTCCTGGAATATAATTAGCAGAGGAAAAAGGAAGAAGTTTGGCGGTGCCATTTATAGTGTGTATGCAACCGGCAGAGCATAGGGCGCCGCATTTGCGCACCGCCGGCACCGTCAAGGGCGTGGTTAATCGATCGGCCAGAAAGAACCTCGCGCGCCCCAATCGATTCCAATTTGTATGTGTTCGTCCATTACGAAAACAAACCGACGTAACACACCTGACAAAGTTTATTTCACTTATTTATTTATTTTCGAAAGAAAGAGAAATTCGCTGCTGCTGATGACGAAATTGGCGTCCTTGTTTGATCTTTGTTTTTTCCTACGGCAGCAGCCGGTCGTCTCTCTTTCTCTCTCTCACTCGCCGCATAGAGAGTCGCAGTGAGAGAGCAGGCTTTTGAGCTTTCAAGTGCCATATGGTGCCGCACCATATAGCGAATTTTCTCAACTGGCCTATCGCCGTCATAACGCATTCATGAATCTTGTCGCGCGCGCTTGCAGGGCACCCTTCTGCGACGTAGCTGTACTTCGAGTATTATTTGGGCTAATTTGCGGCAAGAAATTATCAAGACGGTCGCAGGAGACAAGTGAAAAAACGGGTCTATGACCCGAATGCAAACTTATTTTCTGTTAAATAGTTATTAAAGTCGTCAAATTAACAGTTATTATGTTTATATTATATAAAAAATAATTTGTATTTTTAATTAATAAACATCATTTTTTAAATTTATTAAAACTATTAGGAATTTAAATCTGTATTTAAATCTTTTTTAAATTTATTTACTAAGCAATATATTTTATATTCACCTCTTCTGTTTTGCTTTTTAGGAGATTAATTTTTTTTATTTTAAATATCCGAATGTGGGATCTAAATCTAGTTAAAATTATTATGTTGCAAAATTATTGTTTTCTCGAGTAAAGCACTGGTGTCTCTTCCATTTTGACACATGACATTTAATTAACATTTATTCAAAATAGGGGCCCTTATTATGATGTAATAATTAATCATTAATCAAATAAGATATCACTGCAAAATGTGTTATTTTGTTTAAAAAAAAAAAAAAAAAAAAAAAAAAAAATAGGTTTTCAATTGAGAGAGAGAGCTGAATTTATAGTTCAGCATTAATTGAAAAAAAAAATTAAATATAAAATAAACATTTTTATGAATTTCTTGCATGTCCAGTTAGGAGAATTTCAAAAAAATTCATCCCTTTTTATTAGTTCTTTGCAGGGTGGGGCACAAAATATTCAGTAAAAATGTATTTGAATCTTCATTTTGACCTTTTCTGGGATAATCCTGAGGGTAACAAGGTTTAAATAATTATTAAATGCTTCATTAATTAATACTCATATAAAAATTAAATGTGTGCCAATAATGATAGTGAAAAGTTCTTCTTCGAAATTAATACGAAAATGTTAAATGCTCTAAATTTGAAGTAATTTGTTGTCAGCAGACTTTTTTTCAATGTTGTTAAAATAATCTTATTTAGTCTAGTTCACATATTTGCAATCTTATCAAATAATCCTCTTTGATATTTTTTAGCCTTAATTTGCTGTCCTTAATTAACTCAGCAATCTTTTCAACGTCAAATTTAACTAGAATTTGAGTCCAAATTCCTTCAATCAATCTTAAATTGGCCACTTTTTTAAACTGTAATATTTCTGGGTTGACAGCATAATTCGCTCCAGTTGCACAGTTAATTTGCTGACTGAATAAATCCTGCTCGTTGCTCAGACAGCAGAAATGCATTTATTTCACACCAAACAAGCCTCTTCACTTGATCAATACGTGACGCCGCCATTGTTATCGCAACGTTCTGCGATACATTGAAAGAGCATCTCTCGATGTACGACGTTCTCGAGTTTCATGACGTAAATCAAATCAAATTATTTCTGAACCAAGCCCGACGCGAGCTCGCCCACTCACGTCTTTTGTTATCAAATAATCCTTCTTTTATATACCTGTCAGGTCTTATAAAAAGCAGACAAATAATTAGTATTATATTAAAATTTGTTTATAAAACACGCCCTTTTAATCCTCTTTACAAGAAAATTTATCAGGATTTTTAAAAATTTTGTCTAATTTTGGTATTTAATCTTTTGTTCAAGGATGTGGTGGACGATCACAGGCAACTTTGGCAACATTCTGCCCATCGACTGGTCCAAAACGTACGCGTGCAAAATGCACATCCCTGCGCTGCACCTCGACGAACACAAGGTGAGGGTCTTTCGTTTTTGTACTCGTTTTTCGTCTTCTCCCTTTCACAAATTTATCTAGGACAAACAATCTTATCGCGTTTTCCTCAAGGCAAATTAAGTTTGAGAATCCATTTATGGCTTCCTTTCAGAAAGGAAGTTTGCTTTTCTCAACGGTGCGCTGTCCAAAAAATAAAAAATGTATGTATAAAAATGTTTGATGTTTTTTGCTTTGCAGCAGGACAAGTCGTCGCCGGAGGACGAAATCCTGACCGACGAGGAGGACGCGGTGGCCAGCGACCTTGACATGCACAAGCTCATCCTAAACGGTCTGCAGGGTGGCGGCTGCGACGACGCAGAACCAGTCAAAACAGCTGAAGAAGTACTCCAGGAAATCGACGATATTATTCAGGTTAGTTTTGAGACTTCAAAATTAAATCAATTTTAAATTGTTTTAAAATTAAAATTTTGTATGCAAAAGAATTAATAATTATTTTTATTTCCTTTTTTAAGTATTATGTCATTTTTTTATTAAAAAAAATATACATATTATGACAAAATAATTGATTATGTTATTGTTTTCTTAATTTATTTATAATATAGAATATAAAACTGACATCTTATATTTCTTATTTTTCTTTATATTACATTGGAAGCGCATTAAAAAATTTAAATAAAAATTTATTAACATTGAATCGTTTTTGATGCCCTCAATTACTCAATTTTAGAGTTTTAATTTTCTTATATCAGTTTCATTTAATTAATGCAATAATAATAAGTTTATATTTAATTGATTTCTAACTTGGCTCAATTAACAAAAGTAAATGCTCTGATTGTTTCCAATTTGTTCTTCAGTTTCTATTCCATTAATTTTGTAGACCCAGACTTCCTCTCAATTCACCAGTCTGTCTGTTTTCATTTTTTGCACGCGTGAGGTCACAAAACTCAACTTCCTCTCTTGCTCTGAACATGAAAGACTAAACGCATCTCTCACTTCTATTTTTATGCATCTGATGATGCTTTTTCGCACATGTTGTGGCACATGCACGGGAACATCGCGTTTTTCCTCTTGAGCATGACTGACAGATGTTTTTTTTTTACAAGCAGGAACGTAACTCTCGATTACTCTCATGCTTTTTTATTATTTATTCCACGCAAATTGTATATTTACAGGGCTGCGCTTATCTGGCTTGAAAAGGCTGGTTATTTATTAAAAGGAAAGGTCATGTGTCAAGTGCCGTAAAAAAAATCAATTCAGGGGCGCTTCGCTTATTTAATATATGAACTCGACCAAACAGTTCTTGCGTCACTTCTTACATCTTCAAATTTTATATCTAGTTAAACATTAATTTAGTTTTTATTTTCAATATAATTAATAATAAAATTACCACTATAGAGTTAAAATAAATATACTAATTTTCATGACTTTTATCATTATTGATGGATATTAAAATTTATTTAATATTTAATAATAATTTTTTTTTTACAACATTTCTTGAAAATTTGTAATTTTAAAATAAAAATTATTTTGGCAAAAAAATACAAAATGTATATATTGTTCTTCAGGCAATTATTTTTAAATGTTTTAATTTTTAGAAAAAATTTGTTCCGACTAGTTGCTGATGATTATTCAGTTTTATAATTCTCTTGTAAAAAATATATCTATTTTTTTTTAGAAATTATTTCATTCAATGGGAAGACAGCTATTTAAATTTTATTAATCTTTGAAAATTGTATTGATTCTAATTAAAACCCCTTTCATTGATTGAGTTTCTCTCTCTTTTAATTCCAGGAGACAAATGGCCCGGACGAGTACACAGAAGAGGAGGTGCGAAACAAAAGAAGAGAAGTCCTTCACACACCCCTTTACGAAGAGAGTGAGTCTCATTTTTTTCCTTTCACTCCAATTTCCACCCCTCTTCAAAGATGACCTAAATCTTTCCATGTATTGTGGTTGCTCATTTTTTTCTCTCTTTTCGTTTCGCCGCAGAGCTGAAGGCGCTGAACCTAACCCAGCTGAACGAGCTGTACATGGAGATGGAGGAGCTGATTCGCGACTACTCGGAGACGCTGATCGCCGAACTGGCCCTGCGGGACGAACTGGAATACGAGAAGGAGCTGAAAAACACATTCATCTCGCTGCTGCTGGCCGTGCAGAACAGGAGGCGACAGCACAACGTCGAAAAGAAGCGCAACACCCGAAACAATTCCGCCGCCACCTCGTCTGCCTCGTCAAAGAACAATAACGGAATCGAGTCGAAGGTGCTTATTGATCAATTCCGACACAATGAAATTTATTGATTGACGTGTTTGTTTGGTTGCTGTTTTCCAGTATTTGACCACTGTCATCCCCTACCACCTCAGCAACGGACCACCAAACAACCAAGCACTCCAGGTGCTTATAAAAAGTGAGTCTATATATAATTTAAAATTTATTTTAAATTATTTGTATCATTTAATTTTTCAGTCCTGAAAGCCATAAACGAGGACAGCCCTGCAGTACCAGCTTTGTTGACAGACTATATCCTCAAAGGTATTTTTATTTTCCTTACAGTTTGAAAATTATTGAAATAAACAGATTCAACATTCATTACATAGCAAAATTAGGGCTGTGAGCATATTATTTAAAAATTTATTTTAGAAAAATGATTATTCTCATCAAATAGTAACTTAATCTACGGACAATCATTTCATACTAAATTAAAATTTCTTGAAAAATTGAAAAAAAAAAAATTATAACTTCTCCTTCGCTTTTTTTCTACAATTCATATATATTAAAAAATATTTTTTATTTTTTTAACTATGGATGTTTGTGAATGTTTTGAGCAAGTAAAAAAAATAATTTAAAGTAAATTGAAAATTATCTGAAAATTATTAACAAATATACCATTCAATCAAAGCAGCTTTTTTATTTTAGAAACAAAAACATACATATTTAATTTAAAACTTCAAATAGCAAATATTTGTTGAATTTGTCCAACAATCAAATTTCTTCACAGTCCTAAACAAATTTTGCATGATTGTAATTAAATTTACTTAGAAAAAGTTTTAATTGTGGGCAAAATTTTGCTTCTTGTCAGTTACGTCTTGAATTTTCACATCTTTTTAAATGATAATTTTTTTAGATCAATAAATTTTGCAACGATTTTAATCACTTTCTATCCACTTTCAGTGTTGTGTCCCACGTAAGGTGCGTGTGTCTGAGCTTCGCCCACGTCTATAGTTGTTGATCTTGTGACGACGCAGAGCAGTTTGCCTCTCTCTATCTTCGAATCTCCTACTCCCCGAACGCTTCTCGCACGTTTCACAATTTTTATCAAGAATGTCGCCATGTATTCTTACCAGCTGGTCAGCGAAATGTGCACTCTCACCTATATACCTACCTAAAGTCTACCTAAAATTACGTAGGTGTTGTCGTTTGAACAAAAAATACAAGCTGCTTGCTAAATATAAGAATTCTGAAGGGATAATCGAGGTAGCTTTAAATGCAAACAGATTTTTGATGATCGCATGAGCAAGGAGGACTAACGATTATCATACTTCTAGAGTGCTTTTAGCCTTAAGATAATTAAAACCGAGAAAAACGTAATGTGAGGTTAATTGGCCTGAAGCGATTTGTGCTGAAAAATTCTTAAGCTTCGATGCAAAAGTAATAAGTGGCTAACATACGACGAGCATTTCATTCCTCGATTCCAGTTTTGTGTCCAGCAGGTCGCAAAATATAAATATTGCATTTAAAAATATTTTTGAAGTATTTGCCTCTTTTGTTGATTCGAGACAAAGAAGAAGAAGAAGAAGAAAAATCTGACTGACTGACGTTTTTTAAAGAAATAATTTTTTTGTTAGTCAAAATTTTGAGACCTCTTAGATATGAGATTCAGGACCAAGAAATGGAAATGCTCAACAATTATAATCCTCAACTAGGTGTTACCAGCAACTCGCACTTTGGAACAAATGGATAAAAAAAAATCAATACTCCTTTCTAAACACACACACACACAAGTAATACCAAAACGATTGATTTAATTGAATTGTACATAATGCAAGCCGAGGGCAGATTAATTTTGATATTATTGTATGTGTACGAGAACGATCTCAACAAGTGAACTGTTTTTTGTGGCAAGAGAACAAAAATGTGTCCTACTATCAGTGTAATACTACTCGCTAGGATTAATATAATTATTATTTGACTGGAGTTGATTTGATCGATTAATTCAAGCACTCGTGCTGCCTGACTAATTTCGTGCAATTTAAGTTTAATTAAAAACGAACGAAAAAGGATCTGCTCGAAATCAAAATGGTTAACTACAATGCGAATCTAGTTTTAACTTATTTAATATATACGCCTTGTGATCTGTACTGCCCCAATATGTGTTGTTTTTGTTGTTATACTTGTTCCGGACTTGTCTTTGATTCGCGTAATTTATTGTGGAAGAAAGTAAGAAAGTACGTGATGCCATAATAATTTGTAAGTGGACGGCTGCATGCTGATGTTGCTCTTTCAAAAATAAAAGGTACAAAAACGTATAAAACCAAAATCAAAAGGAGTATATTTATTGAAATGAAAATTCCAGTTTTTTTGTGTTAATCAAGTACATTTATTTATTTGTCTTTTTTATAAGTAAACAGCTCTTCGGTTAAAGCACCTTTGCATAGTAAACAGAGAAACCAGTAGCCCTCAGAGAAGCAGCGTTTTACCCTTGTGACAAAATGGAAATCCCAAAAAAATTCCAATCACTCGTCTAGCTCTTTATTCCTTTTACGCAAATTTAGAATGACTAAAAATTCATAGTAATCGGACGGAGGAAATAGAATCAAACTACTAAATGAATGCCAAATTTTGCTCGAGAGTAGAAGATATTTCGAAGAGATCCAATTGCGGTTGCAGATAATCTTGAGCTTTCGGGGAATGAAAACTCAAAAATATCCACCAAGGTTAAAAAATCTAATACTACTTTGACGGTGACCTCAAAGCGGAAGCGTCGGCCACCGTCATCGGCAAAATGGCACATTGTATTATGTTCGCGCGACGAATCTACAATCTATGTTATGACTTCTAACAACAAATGTTACACAGTATATTTAAAAAAAAAAAATCGGTATATCATAATTTTCCAAAGATAGTAGACAAAAATCTGAAAAAATAATCAGTCATATTAGTGCAGTTAAGTACATTTTATACCAAACTCTTCCAAAGAGAAAATTAATTTTTTTAAACAATTTCCAATGGTGCAAATAAAATTGCACAATCACATTTATGAATTGGGCCCAATTTTGAATTTATAAAATAAATCATGCGATTTAAAATTATTTGTAGCTGCTCTCGCTGTCGGCGCCCCAACGCTCCTGGTACTGGTGGTGCACCGAGGAGGAGGCGACGTAGCTGGACGAGGTGCTGAGGAGCAACTCGCTGGACTTGGCCCTCCTGGCGAGCACAGGCGTTTGCTCGGGGCTGGAGGCCATCATGTTGCTCTCGACGGCCCAGCGGCGCTCGGTGAACTCGGAGGCCGAACGGGCCAACGAGGGCTGGCTGGCCGAACGCATCAGGCTGCCGGCCTGGTCGTCGTACTGGTACTCGGCAGGGCCGCTGGCGTCGCTGTAGGCGTGGTCTTCAGGACGGGCCGCGAAGTCGTTGCACGTGAACTCGGACATGGAGCGCATGTCGTGGGCGTCGGAGCGGTAGCTGCTCTTGTGCGACTTGACGGAGACGCGCTCGGCGCCACCCGTGTGCACCGAGGCGGCGTCCGAGTCGAACTCGTACAGGGTGGGCAGCGAACTGCGACGGCTGCGGTTGTCCCAGTCACTGCGGGATGACGCCGAAGCCTTCCTGAAACGCACTCGCTGCTCATCCTCGGGCGGCGCCAAAACTCGGATGATGACGTCCCACTTTTGCGGTTCGAAGAGCTGCTCGTAGCGCTGATCGTGTCGGATGCGTTCGTAGTCCTCGCGGACGGTGGCCTCGGTCAGCAGGGTGCGCAGGGTCGACTCGGTGGTGATGATCTGCCGCCACTTCTCGCGGTCGGCGTTCGTCAGGATGGAGGTCGCCGAGCACACGCTGGAGCGGTCGTCGTCAACATTGATTTCATTGGCCTTACTGACCAAAGCGGGGGACAGCAGGTTGGGTTCGGCCTCTGGGACTTCAAGGACGCGGATCAAAACGTCCCAGTTGGCGATCGGTTCGGCCGGCATGGGGATGTTCATCGAGCTGCGGTACGACTCCTTGGGTTCGGAGATCATGGTCGAGCTGGAGGCGGTGGAGTAGCGGTCCCAGTCGGGCACGGCGTTCGGGTCAGGGTAGCTGCGGATGGCAACGTCGAAGGTGACCGGGGGAGGGGGTGGCGGCACCCTGGCGTGGAACTCGGTCACCTCGCGCGTGCGGCGCTCAATATCCTCGATGATACGCTTTTCGGTGATGGTGCGCAGGAAGACGTCGTCCACGACGTGCTGGGTGATTTCAGGCTTGTGCACGGCGACCACCGGCGGCTCCAGTTCGATGGTGGCCAGACCTTCGTCAACGACCTCATTGACCGAGTGGGTGTCTGTGTTTTCGGTGTTGAGGGTGTTGAGGCTGTCGCGGCGTTGGAGGCGGACCTCGGACTCGTCGCTCTTTTGCCTTCGCAGGATTCGGGAGTAGACCGGAGGACGCGTGGTGATGGTCACCGTCGGCTGGATGGGTGGTTGGACCGTCAGGTGGGCTGACGCCCGCATCGTTGGTGCGGCCTCGGCAAGGTCTTCGCGCTCCAGAATGGTGGTCAAGTTGCGTTCTTGGATTCGAAGGGCCTCGGCGGTCGAGACGTCGGCCACTGCGGCCGGCAACGGCATCACCGGCATTGGTGGAGGCGGCGTCGAGCCGCGGGAGCTGCAGGAAATGGACGACGCCCTTGGAGGAGGCGAAGGAGCGGCTCTCTTGACGCGCACGGACACGTCGAATTGGGGCGGCGGAGGAACGCGGCTGTCCTGGTGCACCACCAGTGATTCGTCGGCGCAGGCACTCGCATCGTAAATCGAGCTGACCTCGCTGGCCGCCTGTCTGACGGTGATGGCCTCCATTTCAGAATGAGCAGAGCTCGGGGACTCCGAGGGGTAGTCGCTGGGAAGGGTGTCGGACTGGTCGTCAATGATCAGAGCCGCTTCTGAGCCACTGATGCTGCTTCCAACAACAACTGAAACAAGAAAATGAAAAATTTCAATTAAATCTGAATAAATAAGCGGAAAATATTTTTTTATTTAAAAAGTTTTGTATTTAATTGTCCCTCATTTTATGCTCAAATTTCTAAAAGGAAATTTTGATTTTATTTTTAAAGTTCAACTTAAAAATCACAAATATAAAATAAAATTGTAAACGCAGACAATAAATACTTGTTCATTTTAAAAAATTTCGCTTTTAACTATAAGATTTTGAAAAATATGAATTTTGCCCTTACCAATTGGAGTAACAGTGGCGCGAGGAATCTTGAGTCCTTCAAACATGGAAATGGAAGACTCGGACATTTTCGTAATATCGCTTCCCGCGAGAGACAAGGCCATGGGCACTCGTCTGATGACGGCCACCCTCCTTCTGGAGAGGCAGTAGTAGGAGGCGGCAAGGCCGAGGAGCACCAAAGAGAGGAAGAAGATCGCGCAGACGATCAACATCACTTGAAAGCCCTTCAGCGGAGGCTCCGAAACGATCGGGCCTGGTGCGGATTGGCTAAATTTCGATGTTAAAAAGTTAAATGAAAATACATGTATATTTTTTAATAAAAAGAAACTTACATTCGGGCTATGGGGGGAGCAGGGGGAGGTGGGGCGATCGGGGGTGGATAACGGCACACAATGGTGATCACTTCGTCACCGTCCATTTCCAAGTTCGGGTGGAAACGCACCACAATATTATTCGTGAAAACGCGTTGAGGATTCTGCAAATCACAATAAAAAATGACAATTTAAATTTAAGTCAAAAGTATATTTAAGAAAAAAATTAATTACTTATTACAAAAATTTAAACAATTTAATGTTTCAGAAAATTTTGTTACAAATTAATCAATTAATAAATTTAATTGTAGAAAAATTGAAAGTAGATGGAATTATTCCCTTCTCTATGCATCAAGTAAATAAGTTTTTACAATTTTTTTTTCTTATATTGACAGAGCGTTTAATTTGCATAAATAAGTCATCTTCCCACACTCCAGATATTTCTGCAATAGTCCTTCGCCGTCTTATAGAAAGTGCGGAGATCCTTTTATTCCTACGCAAGCTCTCAACACTTTATGCGTGCTTTCGAAAGTTTTTTCATGCTTGTGCTCATCTCACTGCAATCTCCTTATTATCTTTTATTTATATTATTACCTGCACGCTGCCGCATCCTTTGAGCGGCATCTCGATCTTGTAGGTGAGATTTCCGTTTCCAGACACGAAGCACGGGCTGTTCCTGTTGAAATCGGCGAACGCGATTCCGTAGAACGGCTCCTCAAACTTCAACTCGGCCTCCATGGCTCCGGCGGCGCAGTTGAGGGCCGCCTTGGTCCTGTTGAGGAAGATGACCGGCGACAGGTCGTCCAGCTTGGTCACCTTGCCGTCCAGCGTGGCCTGCTCGGGGAGGCCGCTACCCGAGTACTCGATACTGTTGCCATGGTTTGCGTAGTTGGACTGGGCGGCGACGCCGACGGCCAACACCACCAACACAAGTCCACGGAGAACCATCTGCAAAAACACAAAAAGGGAAATCATTATAAGTAAATTATTAAATAAAACTGCGTTTTGGTATAATCTTAAATTTAATTTTATACATAGCCATTGCATTGGAATTTTAATCAACAACAATTCAAATTTAAATAAAAATATTTAGCAATAAAATTGTATGTTTTTAAAAAGTTTAATTCATTTGTACCGGCCTTTGCAAAGTTTATTTAAAATTAAATTTTCTTGTTACACAAGAACTCGTTAAATTTCATATGAAAAATATTACAAAAAAAACTGTTCTGTAGCTTTCTGAGTTTTAAAATTCATTGCTAAAACCTTGATTCTCTTCTTTTTATTTTTCTAATGCATATTGAATGCATAAACATAATAAATAAGAAATAATTTTACTTTACTTTACTTACTGCAGCTTAATTTAATTTTATAAAATTACACATACAAAATTTTATTTGTTATTAAATATTATTTATGCATTTATTTAATTTAATTTCTTCGTTATTTATTATTTTACAGATGCCATTGTATTTGCATCAATTTTAATTTTTAATGAATAAAAATTAATTAGGCTACTAATTATTTAAAAATTATTTGTTGCTTCAACAAGGATGATTTTAAATGAGGAAAGAACTTAATGCCAATCTATTGTTGTGAAGGTAGTTTTTAATTTGCATTGCATTAATTAAAATTTAAAATAATGATCAAGTGAAAAATTTATGAACCGTAAAGTAATAATTTGGGCGTCGCCTTCCACGCGTATGATTTTTTATTTGAAATTAAATATGCTCAAGCTGGTCTTAAGGTGACGCATGGGCGCAAATAGCGAATTGACCAAAAAGCAATAAAGAGCAGGATCACTGTTGGCGGCGCGCAGAGTTTACGAACCCGTTATTCTCAAACACACATCACTCTCAGCACACCACAATATAAATCTTTCAAATGCAGGCACCGCTAATTGAATCATGCCGGCTGGATGTGGTTTTGTGCGGAATTAATTTAATTGCTCCAATGAATCGGCAGGTTCGAGAAAATTAAATAAATTGTAAAAAATTAAATAAATTGTTTGTGTTGGCTGTGCAGGTTGTCAAACAACAGGAAACGAAGCGCTGCAATTAATTTAAAACAAACGCAATTATCAATTCCAGGCACGTTTGTTGTCTCATGCGAGCGGGGACTGTTCGCGTCTTTCTTTTTTATTCTCGTCGGTCAGCCTGCGAGGTGATTCAGGATTTTTGTTTATATGGACAAATGTGACGTAAGCACTTTATTTCCTGTATCTCTAAATGATGTGCCGACGAGAAAATAAGTGGCAAAGTGCTGCTGTGGCGACGCCGTTAAGTCACTTTGTCTCATTTGCAGAAAAAGAGAACCTTTTCAGCTTTATCTTTCAAAGCGGTCGGCCACTTTGATGATCTAAAAAAAACTTGTGCAAGTAATGTTGAACCCGCCTTTACAATTACTTGCTTCATGAAACAGTAATAATGTAAATTAAAATATAAAATTTAGGTACAATAGAAAGTCACAGGTTCTTACTAAACTGCTCTTTTAGGAAATCCATGCAAGATTTACAACTAGGACGAAATTTGACTTAAAAAGAAACTTTCTCAATGCACTTTTTTGCACCACCGCAGCTTTCCCCTTTATGAATTTATGCATAAGGCTCCGCAATTTATCTGTGGCGAAAAACGGGAGCCCATTTCAAATTTATACAACGCAGCCGTGAAATCGAATTTTGATCCGCTTCGCTCCGCATTTTCTCAGAATATAGAAATTTTCATCAAACCGCAATCTCTCCCAATGATCGGCACAAAATCTTTGCAGAGAATAAGAATATGTCACGAAATCAGAGGTTTTCGTCGGCATGGGAAAGTTTCGCATGATTATAACTGTGCGTGGCAGCAGATCCATTTTTAGCTATAGTGCTGCACTCGCGCTCACCATCAGAGGACAAAGGAGAAATTTCTGCTCGCGCGAAAGGTGCTCCGGACGATGAGAAATTGAATGGAAGGAAGCAGCCGGGAAGCAATTTATGACGGTTTAAGCATTTTGTTTTAACTTAATTGAACAGAAAGTGTGACCAACAAAAAAAAAAAAAAAATGAAAATTGAAAGAAATTCAGAGGTGCTTGACTAATAAATTTGGAAAGCTCTTATCAATTAAGGGGGCTTGGAATTTTAGTAATTTTTTCTAACTTCTTTACTCGACTAAAAATAAATATTTTTCCAATCAGGTATGCTGAAAATAATTATTGCACTCTAACAAAATTTTATTTATTTTATGGGTTGATTTTTGCAATTTAGAGGTTGGATAGAAGAACATACAACATAATTTTGCTACATTTAAAAAAATTCAAGAAAGAAACCTAGCTACTTATTTATCTGTCATAATTGCTGCAAGATTATTTATGCTGAATACTTTAGATATTTTATAAAAAAAGTTTTAATGGCAATTAAGTGGAACTAAAAAAAGTAAATTATCAAGAGAAAAATAAATAAAATAACTCATTAACCAAGAAACTTCTAAAAATTGGTTTGGCCTTCGGTACTTAAGCTTTACGATTCACGACGCGGATATGCTATAAACTAATTAGTAAAAACCGAAAGTGCAACTCCAGATGCGGAGGTCCTGCTTTTTAACAATGTGCCATAAAACACTCGTCGTGCGATGGAAGATGAGCTCAACACCAAGATCATTGCACGTTTATTTGTTTACGCGGTGAATTTCCAAGGCTTGTGGCAAAATGCGATCGCGCGTGAAGCGCGAGGTGAGCATGCACCGTGCGAAAATTTTGTTGTTATTATTTTTTTTACTCACCTTCCGTATATTTTCGCTGTCAGTTTTTAGATTGAAAGGTTTCGCGGACCTTATTATTTACTTATTTTCTTCCAGTTATTCGTTTAATTCAAATGAGATTGCGGTGCTTTTTTCTGTACAAATGAATCGGCCCGCTTTGTGAAAATAAATATAGGAACTTGAATATAAGTAACTGTCCTCTGAGAACACACATCAATCACACCCGCCGCGCGCGACTCGCTCGCTCACTCGCGCGCGAGCTTCATTCGAGATCAATCTCTCGTTGCTCGGAAACACCGTAAGGTTCTGTGCCAAACGACCCGGAAATTAGCTAGAAACGATCAAAATCAAAGAGCAACGGCTGAGGAAGACAAATGAAGGAGGTATGATGTAATTTTATACTTATTTATCTTTGATTACAGGCTTTTGATGGAATCAAATTTTTATTCAACTACTAAAAATAACCAAAGCTAATACCGAACGTGGATTTATTTTTAAATCGTTTTACTGGTTTAAATTTCTTGAAGTGGTGCAATGAAATAAATTTTTTAGAACAAACTTTGTTGATTTTGTTTCGCTTTGTGCTGCAAAATGGAAATACTGTTAAAAAAAGTTATAAAAAATAATTAATATTTAAATAAATTTAAATAGTTTTAAATTTAAGTTTTGTTGAAAAATTATAAAAACTTACTAATAAAATTTTTTAAGTTAGTGTTAATATTTTCAACATATATTAAATATTTGACGAGATTTCACACCTTATTTATCTCTTGACACCGGATGTTGAAAGGCACACCTGACGCGGTGCGAGTCTAGCTCTGTCTACTGTAGCATGAAATTTTCCCTTGATCAAATTTGTCTAGACGGCAGCACGCCTATCAAAAAACCGACCCCCCGCATTTCCTGTTCATTTGTTGGACATGAAACTCCGCAAGCCTCGAGGCTGGTTTACATAAATTTCACAAAGCGTGGCTATTATTTTCCCGAAGAGCAATTTCTGCACAATTACGAGAGATAAATCATAACAAGAGCATTCGATGCAGCAAAGAGATGAAACTGCCAAGTTTATCCGCTGGCACGACTGCAGCAAAAGAAATAAATTATCAACTCGAGAGCAACATCATTGAAGAGAAAAATAAACCGAGCGATTGCAAACCAGAACCATTTACACGGCAATCAGTGTATTTTTCCATTTCTGAAATAAAAACGCGCATATCTCAATTCATTTCATTAAAAACAAGTCTTGAGAGAAAATGCGTGGATGAGGAATGCGTCTCTTTTTTATTTTTTTCAAACCCACGCTCGGATGGAAAATAACGCGGCGAAAAACAATTAAATTACCGCCTTATGTCACGGTCGCCGTGGGCTGTAAAAAATCCGATCGTGTATTATCCTATGAATCACTTTTCTCGGCGCGATCCGATATTTGTGTTTGGCCGCAGCGTGAAGGGAAAGTTGCACCGGCGACTTTACAATAGCATAAAGCGCCATGGGAGAGCCTTGTCCTACTTGAAAGTGCAGACAGCAGTCTTCATTCGGCGCAGTGTGCGTTTTTAAATTCACTCGAATATAAACCTAATTGTTCCCCTCAGCCGGTAAAACGAGAGTACACATTAAAAGTAAAACAGCCTTGGACAGAGCAAAAAACAAAACTTCAGTAAATTAGGAGAAGGTTTGAATTAAAAAAAATCTTTGGCAGAGTTGGCGTGAGTGTGCAAATAAGAAATCGTCAAATTTTGTCACGTGGGCGAAGTGATGCAAGGGCATCCGCAAATTTTAGCTTGATGGTTAGAGGTCAACTTTCACGCTCTTGTCACAAACAATAAGCGATTTTTAAAAAAAAAAATATGTGCATTTGTATTTATTTTTAAAACAAAATTTTAATTTAAATCTCTTTATAAAATATTAATTTTAAATATAAACTCTATCAATTTTTTATTATAATTTAATTGTTTGAATAAATGTTTTTTGAATAAAAGTTTAGTAAGAATTTAAAAATAAAGAACATGTTAGTATATACACAAGCAAACTATTTAACTTGTTGAGCTTGAAATTTATTTAAATCATTGGTAACATATGCCTCTCATTAAATATAGATTATAAATATGTTCTGCGTAGCCAATGTTTATGTAAAATTGAATCATTTCGGCATTAATAAGTGAAAATTTATTTGATTTATTAATTTATTCTATTTTTTAATTAAAAATTTCTCGAAAACTTATAGCTTATTATTGATTTGTTGACAGTGTTTTTTTTTTTAAGATTTGTTATGAAAATTCCCCCATTGATAATTTTCCTCTCTTCATTTTTTTTTTTTTTTTTTAATTCATTTGTTCATAACAGGGGTGTCGGAAGAATATACAGAATTCTCGCTCATTCCTTTATATCCATTCCATAACTCTTGATTCCTCTCTCTTTAAAAGGCGCACGACTCGTGCATTTATTTCTGGTGTAAAAATTGCTGGTTCATGACCTGCGAGCAGTTGGAAGCTTAAGTGTGTAGAAATTCTTTCTCATCCTCTCTGGATAGATTTCATCACGCGCCAAATAAGGCGATAAAGGCGCTTTACACGCCAACCGAAATAGCGGCCGGCAATTAGGCAACCTGCTCTGCACACCCGATTCTTGTTCCCGATAACAATTATAATGCACCACCTGACCTGCTGTTTCTGATAAGCTCACTTAACTTTTCGGAATTAAAGACACGCGCTCTCACACTTCTGCTTGTAGAAATTTCCGGCAGCCGCCTAAATTAATTATTCATTAAGAATGAGATGCTCTGGAAACCCAGTAATGCACTCATGCAGCGTTGTGAAAGGTGGTTTATGAAGAAAGAAGATATCCTTCGCATATGTGCAATTGATGAAAAGAAGTTTCGTGCTCTGCCTTCCGTGTTTGCATGTCTCGCGCGACGCCAATTAATATTTCGAGAGGCGCGCGCAAAAAACATAAAAACGCGGTGACTTGTTTTGCTTTTAAAAGGTGAACGGTACTTTTCGTGTATTTTCAGGGAGGCTGCGATCGTAATTTCTCACATATTTTCACGGAATGCATGACTCGTAATACTTTAACAGTCATTCTACTGGCCATTGCGGTATATCTGCAAATTAGAGTGGTTTTTGGTCGTGGCCGTAAAAGGTGTATTAATAAAAATTGAATAAATCTAGAAAAATAATTAATTGTCAGAACAGTTTTGTATTTTATTATGGAAACACTTGCTTAATTTATAAACAGTTTTTAAATTCTCGATTTAAATCTTTACCAAGAATATTAAAAAAAAAATTAATTGAACCTAAATTAAAATATTTGTCTCCATCCAAATTAAAAAGTTTCTGTTTTATGATTCTTAAAGCTAATTTTTTTCTCAGTTAGTCAACGTTCCAAAATTACATTTTTTAGTAAAATATAAACAAACTAGAATAAGAGGACTTGAAAGGAAAATTAATATTTAAATAAAAAAAATACTATAAATTTTTATCAGAAATTGAGAAATTATTGTTAATGCAGAAATTATAATGTTAATTACAAGAAGATTTTACTTAAGTGTCAAATATTAAAACAATTTCACACAGAAGCAAAACTGAAGGCAAAAAAGTAGATCAGAACGTATTTTTTTAAAACCACGTATTTTATGATGTCACGCCAGGATGATGCGATTGAACTCTTGGCAGAAAACGAAACCGCTCATAATTACTTTTGGTTCATCTCGTGCACAGCGTGCGCGGAACATTTCACGCGCGAGAGAGATGTGTGTAGTGCAAAATAGATTATTACGGTACTGCTACAAAAGCTGGTTATTGCACTTCCAACAACCATTATTATATTAAATTTATTATTATATCAAAAAGCGCTCTCTTGTCAGGGCACAGCGGGGGCAGATCAGGAAAAATGAAATGATTGATATTCTCTTCTGCTCTCTGCTTCAAATCCGATACCCTTTTTCGAAATGAAATATGTATAAGGGCACCTGCATGTGCACACACAAATGCACTCAAGCGTTGTTATAATCGAAGCGGCGGCATCAAATTTCCTTCTTGTTATTCGCACACACAATAATTCCGAATCGACGAGCTGTATATATGCATATACGATATTCCGAGCTGATTTCCCACATGAAAAATTCCCATCTTGATTATCAAATTTGCTTTTGTCTCTGCGCAAGCAATTTGCATCTGAATCGCAATTTGGCAGCAGCATCAGTGGCACAGATTTGAGAGATGAATAAAGAGGATGAGATTTTTCGACATATGTATATAATTATCGGCGGGAACAAGTGGTATCCTGTTCTCATTGTGGGCCGCATCGCACAGAGTTGGATAATGTTATTCTGCGCTGTGATATTTCCGGCCGTGACTTGACCTTATCGCGTGGTTTGCACAGAACTTCAATGTACGAAACATTCTTACTTCACTTCCTTCTCAGATTGTCCTTTTATTTAAGTGCAGTTTGAATGTTTAATTCCATATTGTTTTATATAAAACATGATAAATATTAATTAATGGAAACGAACATTTCATTTTTTTTTTTCAAAAACTTCCGCAAATGTTTTCTTTAAAAGCTTCAATCGTTATTGCAAAATATATTTTTAATTTTCTGTTCCAAAGGACACAATCCATCATTAAGTTAAATAATAGAAACCAGATTTTCTGGTAGAAAACGGAATTTTAAATTAAAGTTCAAATTTAGGCACTTAAAATGATTTTTCAAAACTTTACTTGAACATTTTGCTTATAAAATCTTAACTACTGAAGGAACCTTGAAATTATAAAACACTCAAAAAAATTAGCATAAAAATATTTAAAATGAAACGCCATGTCCAAGCAAAATAAATTTCAACACTATATTTGACATATGGTCAAATTATGGACAAATTATTCTTGATCTTTATCATTTAAATTAATATTTGTTGGATTATCAAACAGAACTGATGAATAGTCCTAATGATGGCTCAGGTAATTTGCTCGGAGGCGCTTCCCTTTCATCTCTCACAATTCCAGGAAATGCCCACGCGGACTCAAAACATCTTCGCCGAGTCATCAATGAAATGAACCAACGAAAATGAAGGAGGCGCTTCTTCTTATTATTATTATACCCAGAGCAGAGCCTCATTTTCTAAACCGAAAACATTTCCTGCTCGCATTCGATGCAAAAAAAAAAAAACTTTTTTGCTTTTTCCGTGTGATTTCATTTTTGTTCTGTTCAGAAGAAGAAAGAAAAGTGAATCAGCGGCTTAGCAACTACCAGTCTTTGTGACGAGAAGAGAACCCTTAAGCAGCGCCTCTCTTTAAACATTTAATATTCGCGACGAGCGTCCTTGCAAGTAAGTCTCTCTCTCTCCGAATCATGACCAACACCCATACGCCGATTGTTCCACGTCTGCATTATACAATTCAGTGTGTCCATTTTGTGCTGAAAATGAGTGAGCGGAAAATTGTATTCTTCGAGTTGGACTTTCACTCGGCTCGTGTAACAATCGAGTGAAATAATAATATGAAAGTGAATGGTCACGTTGGTATATTTATACACATTTCAATAAGATACAGACATATCCAGCTGCTGGTTATTTTTAGGCCTAATTGGGCTGATTGGTGGTAACTGGAGGAAAATTGGATCAATGGTTTGCGTCTCTCTTTGATATGCGGCCGGCGTGCTTCTTGTTAATCGATTAGAGTGACACATTCAATTATTTCCCAACCGCAATTACATTCTAGGCTGCTTATTGTATTAAGGCGCGCAATTCATAATGCGATTAATGCAACAGGCATGCTTCCTTAACGTTGTCGAGCGCCTTTTAAGACACAAGTGTTACATAGAATGAATAAGTCACGTGTTCCTTTCTTTATTCGTGAAAAACGATCGCATTCAAAATTAGGTAAAGGAAAGGTCGTATTTATTATTTAATTTTATTTCTGTTTTGATATTTTTAACAACAATATTGTAGTTAAAAATTTAATATTACTAATAAATATAAATTTATCTGACAAATTTTGATTTTGTTACTTTAAAGACTATATTAGTATAATTACGTTTGAACTTTTAATTTTTCATAAAATATTCTGCACAGGCGATGAATCTGTGAGATACTGCTTGTTTTATAAAAAAAATTCCGTAAAAGTTGATGGGGCTGTAATTATTGTATTTCCAAATTATTTAAAATCATTGATACCAAACAAACATTAAATTTAATTTCTCAATAGATGAACTTCAATCTTCAATTGTAATGTCCATACAAGGTGTCAATTAGAGTGGGAATTTTATTGAACTGCAGTGCAGCGCGTGCAGCATTATAAAGCCAAGAGTGCAAAGCCAAGGCCAATTTTCCGCGGAGAGACGTCGGCAAACATTATGCAGGGATATGAGGCACTCCTGTGAAGCGACTCTCCGCGAGCAAGGTTTTTATCCGTGATGTCATTCAGAGGTGTTCAAAATTCTTATTAACAACTCCATAATGAGCATACAGCGAGAGCTGACGAGGAACTTCCCAACGCGCGAATGTTTCTTGGAAAAAATACTTCACCGAGAGAACCACTTACGGCTGTGGCCATAATTGCAAAAAGTTGACAAGGAATGACCAAGTGACAAAAAAATTCCTTCTTGAACATTTTGAATTTTCAGAGAATTTAAAGATATATGACTTAAATATTTTTTCCTTATCTTGTTTATTTATTCCATTATACAATCACGTGACTTGTTCCTTTCTTGAGGTTTAATTTACAACTGAATACGAAAATAAATTCCAAAGTGTAAGAATTCTTAAAACCATCATATATCCAACCAGTAAAAAACACTTTCTTTTCTGTATAAGTCGTGAGAAAATTTAAATTTCAAAACTCCGTCGGAAAATCGATCCGGTTTCTTGTCAAGGTTGTGGATTTAATGCACCCATTGCGTGAAAAGTGAAAGGAATTTCAATCGAAAGGCGTCGGCCGTTCGGACAATCGCCCGAAATTTACATTCCCCGGCCGGAAAAATAAATTTTCTAGAAACTCGAATCAGAATTAAGGAAATAGATGGTAATTATTACCTTGGTCTGCGTTACTGAAGCAAAATGATTTTCTTTTCACATCCCTGCACGAGATTCACACCAGGTATCTAGACCCTGAAGGTTTCCACTCGAGACTGGCGGGCCGAGGTGGGGAGCGCGCCGATCTTACCTTTTCTGTCTTGCCTCACTGCTCCTTCCTCGCCTCCCCCCTCTCGCTCCACCAGCCATAAACCCACCTGCGCGTCTGTCTATTTGAACTGCCTGCCAAAGGTACACGGCTAAAGGTACACTTTATCCACCTTTTTCGAGCCGCTCTCTGTAAAAATAAAAGAAGTCAACCCACTCGCGCCGCCGCCAACACAGAGAACGACATAATAACAGGCCGCTCCGCCGCATTAACGCGCAATGAGCTATCGTTTTTGTGCCGTTTATTGCACCTAGTGTGTGTGCACCTTATTGTCCGATACTTATGGGCATAATGAGATTTGTTTTTTGTTCCTAGCACATCTTGTCTAGAGTCAATAAGGCGAGATTGAATTAAATTGATCTCGATAGCCGCAGAGTGGCTGAGAACTGCAAATTAAATGCCAGTAAACATAAGTTACTATAAAAAGGTTAAACCTCTTCTAAAAATGGAAAAAGTGAATAGGCAAGTAGCAAACTGTTACAAATAATAACATACCTTGAGGTTAGATTTATTTTTTTCTCTCAAAATGTTCCAAAGCCTTTAATAAAGATTTTTTACTTCAAATAGGGGTGGCAAAAATAATTTAAATTTTTAATATATTGCAGACGAATTTCTTAATTGAGGCCAGGTTAATTCATGATTTTTAAATTGAAGTCAACGATGAGTTTTTTTCTAGCAAACAGTTTTAACCACAAAAAATCTCCATCGCATTGAAGAATAAAATAAGTTGACTCAAAATCTAAAACACATATTTATTATTTTAGTCTAAGGGAGACCTTATTGTTCCTAAAAAATCATTCAAAAGTTTGAAAAGTTTTTGATAATAAGTAGGTGAAGACTCGGAAACAATAATATTTAGAAAAAATACAGCAAAAATGAAATTCTTCATTTTAACCCACATTCCACCCTTTGATAATTACGGCATTGGACAGGCGCCTTTTTAAACTTTAAAAAAGCTCAGCACATATGAGCCCCGCAAATCGGCGCCGCAAATCGGCGCCGCAAATCGGCCCCGCAAATCGGCGCCGCAAATCGGCGCCGCAAATCGGCCCCGCAAACCGGCGCCGCACATCGGCCCCGCAAATCGGCGCCGCAAATCGGCGCCGTTAATCGGCGCCGTTAATCGGCGCCGCAAATCGGCCCCGCACATCGGCCGATTTTGTAATTTTTCCTCTCAACTTTTATAGCTGCTGAAGTGATGATTGCTGGGACAGTTTTGCGAATTGTAATTGGCGGCAGTTTTTTTATAGCCGTATAGATTCTCCGCAAGTCCGTTATAGAACTTGAGAACCAGACATACTGTGATATGAAAATGTAATTGGCTTTTGTCTCTCTCGGCGTCTCGCCCTTTGTCTTTTTCGCGAAGGCTGATTCAGCAAGGCTGTCAAAAGCTGCCGAGAGGAAAAACCGCTTTGCTTATTGCGAGTGCAAAAACTTGAGCTGCTTTTAAAACACAATCGCTTCTTTTCAGAGCAGGGCTTTCGGCGTGCGGACCATTGAAGTTTCTCAATGTCAACAAGCAGGAATTGACAAAGAATTCCTTTTCAGAGGGACCAAAAAAAAAAAAAATCGCCTGAAAAAGACGACGAGTCGAAATTCCGCGGTTTTGTATTTGCTCTGGGAACAATATTTTGGCTGCTTTGCATTCACAAAACGTCTCTAGTCGATTTTTTCCCTCGACGTTGGCAGCAGCGTTTGCATAATCACCTCACAAATATTTGATCATGATGATGAGTCATGTTACCACCACGTTGCTCTCATCATTACACTAGAATTTTTATGTATTTTGACGCTCCCCCTGGGACCATCCAGCCCATTGTTCTCCACCACTTTTTGCGGTTTGTTCGAAAAAATCCCCCAATCATCGGCCACTTGTCTCACGAATACAAAGAGGGAGCCCAGCCAGCTAAGGGAGACCGACCACATTTAATATTTTCTTAAGGTGCCTCTCGCTCTTCATCAGGCGAAGAAAATCACCGACAATGGGAGCGCTGCTGTGTTTCCCTCCATGACTGGACGGTATGGAGGCTGAAATTGAAATTTTGAATACAATCTTAATCGCTTTCATGCTGCGAGCATAGCGTTCTTCTTCATAGTAGGAATAAAAGTTGTAATATAAATATATGGCCATTAGAATTTCAATAGAAACCCAACAGCCTTGACTATAGCTGAATTAAATTATACTTACAAAAAATATTGGCAAAAACTTTTGTTGCAAGTATGTACATATGGCGTCTTATTTTTCTTTAATTAAATTTCCTACAACGAAACTAATTTTTGTAGAGTATTTTGGAATTTTTATTTAAATAATAATAAGTAACTGATAATGTTGCATGGTTTTTATATAAAAATTTTGTAATGAGCCACAACACTTTTTAATTAAAATTGCATTCTAAATTGTTCGAAAAATTATGGTTTATCTTTCTTTTGATAACTGCTTACCAATAGCTTAAAAAGGAATTTAAATATTTGAATTAAATTGGTGAGAAATAATTCTCATATCTGAACACTTGGCAACAATCCAAATTTGATCTGATTGCCACCATGGTGTGATGAGCGGACTATGATTAAAACTTATTTTTGTTACTTAATATACCTGAAATACATAAAATGAAATTTTATTTAATTTTTTTCCATCTTAAAATTCAAATTAACTCCAATCTTGTGTAAAAATTTCAATTTTACCAGGCCAATATCTTGAAAACCAATATTTATACTCATAAACTCCCATTTTGAAACGGTGGGGAAGAAGTTCCCTAAGTGGAAGTTGGCGAAAGTGGAAGTTCCCAAAAAACATGGAGGCAAAAGGTGGGGCCAGGGTAGCATGGGGAGGAAATGGGCAGCATCGACACATGATTTGAAAGACTCTGAAGCCAATGAGTGAATGGAGTTCCACATAAGTGTAAATGCAGGTCGAAATTGCGAATTTTTGCATTGAAATTAAAAATCGCATTTATATTGAGCGTGTATTGAACTCCCTAAAGTAGAAACTCCCTAGAAAGCTACTCAATTTCCACTTTTGGGAGTTTCTAGTTTCTACTCTTCGAGATTTATGATTATTTTTTTTTTTAGCTGTTTAAAATTTCATTGAGTGGAAGTTCCCAAGTGGAAACTTCCTAGTGACTTCAAGTATTGTCCAAGCTGGAAGGCAGGTGGCGCACTAGTGACGTACTATTTTTGAACCAGGTCTGAACTAATTCCAAATTTTAAAAAACTTTTTTAAGGAAAAACTTTTAAAAAAATTAAAAATTTATTTCTATATATTCATGAAAACGAAACATAAATGAAAATGGCACCATTCTATATGACAGAAATTGACCCTTGGTTCAAATCTGGTTTGGATTTGGTTCAAAACTGGTGTAGAACTGATGCCAGAACAGCTGAACCGGTTCTGCACTAGTTACGTACTATTTTTGAACCAGGTCTGAACTAATTCCAAATTTTAAAAAACTTTAGTACCAAAAAAATTTAAAAAAAATTAAAAATTCATTTCTATATATTCATGAAAACGAAACATAAATGAAAATGGCACCATTCTATATGACAGAAATTGACCCTTGGTTCAAATCTGGTTTGGATTTGGTTCAAAACTGGTGTAGAACTGATGCCAGAACAGCTGAACCGGTTCTGCACTAGTTACGTACTATTTTTGAACCAGGTCTGAACTAATCCCAAATTTTAAAAAACTTTAGTACCAAAAAAATTTAAAAAAAATTAAAAATTCATTTCTATATATTCATGAAAACGAAACATAAATGAAAATGGCACCATTATATATGACAGAAATTAACCCTTGGTTCAAATCAGGTTTAGATCTGGTTCAAAACTGGTGTAGAACTGATGCCAGAACAGCTGAACCGGTTCTGCACTAGTTACGTACTATTTTTGAACCAGGTCTGAACTAATTCCAAATTTTAAAAAACTTTAGTACCAAAAAAATTTAAAAAAAATTAAAAATTCATTTCTATATATTCATGAAAACGAAACATAAATGAAAATGGCACCATTATATATGACAGAAATTAACCCTTGGTTCAAATCAGGTTTAGATCTGGTTCAAAACTGGTGTAGAACTGATGCCAGAACAGCTGAACCGGTTCTGCACTAGTTACGTACTATTTTTGAACCAGGGGTCTAATTCTGTAAGAGAGAATCGTTCCATTTCCATTTCTATTTCATTTTCCATTTGCTCACCCATTCTATTTCGTCGCCTTTTTTGATTACGACTTCTATTTCGCAGCCTATCCATTTCCATTTCTATTTCGTCGTCAATTTTAATAGTTGAGCCATTTATTTATTTATATTTAATTTAATTATTCCCTATGCTTACAGTGCTCTTCGAATGGTTTTTAATATTCAGGTTGATAAAATTATATGAATTATTTAATTTTTAATGAAAATGAATATTTATAATTCTTATATGTCTCTCGCACCCCCTTTTAATCAAATCTTTTTATGGCTCATAATTAGGGGGGATCAAGATAATTTTTCCTTTCACAAAGTTAATTAAATCAATTTCTTAAAAATTTGTTGAATTCAAATACAATAATAATATTTTTTTTTAGCAAATTAGCAACCATGTATTTTATATTATTTAATTCATCGCGTGCGCTGTTTGGTACCACAATTTGCTCCCACACTGTGGTACCTCAATTTGCGCCCACACTGTGGTACCTCAATTTTCGCCCACTTTGTGGTACCACAATTTGCTCCCACACTGTGGTACCACAATATGCTCCCACACTGTGGTACCACAATATGCTCCCACACTGTGGTACCACAATTTTCGCCCACACTGTGGTACTTCAATATGCTCCCACACTGTGGTACCACAATATGCTCCCACACTGTGGTACCACAATTTGCGCCCACACTGTGGTACCACAATATGCTCCCACACTGTGGTACCACAATTTGCGCCCACACTGTGGTACCACAATATGCTGCCACACTGTGGTACCACAATATGCTCCCACACTGTGGTACCACAATTTTCGCCCACACTGTGGTA